TTACCTAAATGTTTCAGTACTATAACTATCTTCATGAACAGTGTCTCCCCTACTCTGTCATGTCCTACATTCTCTCCTGTAATGTATAATGTACTTTGAGGATAGTGTCAGCATTGAGTCATATTTTCAAATTGTTCATACGCATAAATGTGTATAGGTTTCACACTCGAAAACTAACCACAAGATTATATATTGATAGCAGGTCGAAAAAGTTGCTTGATAGCTCAGGGAATCCCTTGGTGCGTACCACAGATGTTGAAGGACAGTTGCAGGAGTTATGTGATGAAGTGAAAACAATGATTACGATGGGGAATGAAAATGATGCCATAGACCTCCTTCAACCAAATTATGAAGCTGTTGAAGAACAGATGGACTCTGGTGCTAGAGGAATAGGACAAGCTGCCACACTAGACGTCATAGCCTTGGGGTAGATTGCTATCAGGGATTTGAAGATGGTTGGCTCCCTGTTGGACATGGTAATTTCATTTTGCAATAAATATTCTACGAAAATGCGTGTTAATCATGCTACTAAAGGAAACAGGATACTTGAGTCAGTCTACATTGTAATTTCTCTTTTTGTGAGAGCATTTGATACTTCGATTGACATGTGTGTCTACGCACCGCATCTGTGTATGTGTGTATTGCGTCTAGGCTGTCTTAATGTAACAGAATCATTAACTTTGTAACTCTGCTATTATTGCTCATTGATGGAGTGACAATTAATCTAACAAATGGCTGTATAACTCTGTTACCAAATTGACTGTCAGGGTCTAGTGCAGCTAATCTATACAAGGATCAAAAGGAGAAAGGAATTAATGTGATTATATTGTATTTCATTGGGTAGAGAGAGAGAGAGAGAGAGTTCTGATACCCTTTTTTTCTTTTTTGTTTTTTCCTTTGGATGCATGTTCATGGGAGGATAGTTAGATGAGGTCGTTGATGGTTTAAAGGATGACGAACTCCTTGATTATGGGAAAACTTGAGGATTCCATGCTTGCATACAGGTGGTCTCTTGAAATTCTAGAGAGAGAATATGGTAAGTCCAATCTTTGGAATTTCAAATGTTACGTAATTCCTAGTTTGTGATATGTGTGTTGAAAAACATTGTGTGGCTTGACTTGGCTGGTGCCAGTTAGCATGGTTAGACTAGGCACCTTTGCCCTATAACAACGTAATCCCAAAAAATTCATCCATGCAAATTTAGTCCCAAATGCATCATGGAAGATTTGCTGGCTTATTTGCTCCAGTTAAGACCACCTTATTTCTCACCTCTTCCACCTCTAATGCCCTACGCACCAATGACTACCCATGAACTTCCTTGGTTTCATTACTAGATTTTTCTCTTTGATACATGTTCTACCTCAATACTCAGACTTAGTCAGCACAAAGTCATAAGGTGATATTGATATAGGACTTTTCTATTCCCGGGTAAGGAAAATGATGTTCATGAAAAATCAATAAAGTTTGCATCTACTGCAAGCTGAAAAAATCCAAGTCCAAATTACTTTTTATTTGTGATTATACAAATATTTTACCACAATTTTCTGTCTCAAGATTTTATTTATTTATTTATTTTTTTGGTTCATTTTGTTGACATTGTTCTTTATGGCTTTATTCTTTTTCTTCTTCTTGCTGCTTCTCTTGCACCACCATCATCTTGTCCCTCTAAGAGTACCATTTTGGCTGAACAGAAAAAGCCTCCATGGATAAAGTAAATAAGCTGTTTGAACAGTAAAAAATTAATGCAATCCAAAAATTCTTTTTGAATTTTTAGATGTTTATGAAGAATGTAGAATGATTTTTGAGTTCTTCCTGTATTTACTTGAGCAATATTAAAGAGAATGAAACGTAATTTTTTTTTGATAAATAAAAGAGAATGAAATGTAATTGTTCAATGCATAATCAGTTACTAATAAAAATGATTACTTTAGTTACTGCCTTGATCTTTGCAAATTCTAGTTGTTAGTGATTATTTTTCCTAGATTTTAATTGAGTCCATTTTGTCCTCTGCAGGACCATTTTCATGGTTGACACAGTACAAGCTGTTGTGGTTCTTGTTAGAGCCATTCTAAACATTTTCTTTAATGTTCAGTACTATATGCTGAAGACAGCAATCCAATGATTAAGTAAAAAGCTGCTTCTTGTAGGGAAAAATAAGGAAAAATAGTACTTTTCTTATCACACCGTTACTAGGGATGGTTATATCGCTGTTTACTTACCATATTGGAATTGAGCAAAGGTGCAGATAGTGAGGATTTGGTGGTGCCTTTACTTGGCCTCGACAATCTTTTAATGAAGAAAGGAAAAGCTAAGGATACTGAAAATCCTTTTATTGGGTAATTTGCTTTCTGTATATTGCTTTGGGTGGTAGAGTTCAATATTTTTATGTCTTTTGTTTATTAACTTCCTTTTTGTTTTGTTTTTCATTCTGTGATGAATCTTAGAATTCTCAACGTATATACAAAGTTATGTGGGGAGAATGATGGAAGAGTTGGAATGGCAATGTGTTCTTTGGCCCATGTGAAATGTGCAAAAGGTGAGCTACGTATTCTTCATTGTTTTTCTTCTTGATTGCATTTAAATTAGTAGGGTCATGTTAACACCAGTAATTGTGTGGGGTCAAAAAGTTTCTGAGTGGATTGTGGTGAACTTAAAATTTAGAAGTTCATTCATAAATGGATATCTATTTCAAGTTTTTAAGTATGGGATCATGTGCCATTTTCATGCAGGGAATGCTTATGAAGCCATTCAATTATATAGAAATGCTCTTCAGGTCCTCAAGGATTCAAAATGTATGCCTTTGGATGACAATGTGATGGAAAAGATGAGGATAGATTTAGCAGAATTGTTGTTGCATTTAGTGGGAAGGTATGCCTTTGTTTCAGTTCTGCCACTTTTCTAATTAAGAAACCTCATTGTGCTCAAACCTCATTGATAGATTGAATGGAGCTAATTCTATATTTTTTTTATTGGCTGTATTGATTTTAAGGCATCGTCTTCTTAATCATGGATTGGTTGCTTTGCTGTCAGAGTAGTTTGTATACTTGAAGGTATGATAATCTTAAACATGCTATTAGGTCATGAATTTGTTAATGGCCTAATGAGATGATTGATTGAAATTTGCAATCCATGCTTGCCAATCCAAATATATAAATTTAAAATCCATGCAGTATGTGAATTCTGGGAAATGGTTGATAGATTGAACCAAGTTAATTTCTTTAAAAATAAATAAATAAATGGTTGTAGTTGATTTTGAATCATCAATTGTCTTCTTAATCATGTATTGGTTGCTTTCAGAGGAAAAGAAGGTTGTGAGCTACTAGAGGAATGCTTGTTCATGAATGAAAAGTATATTGGAAAAGAACACCTAGCCTAGTTACCCATCTTGTAAATCTTGCAACCTCTTATTCATACTCTTAAGAGCTTTGTGGAGGCTAAGCGCTTGTTGCGGAGGAGTTTGCAGATCATGTTGAAGACTGTGGGACCCGATGATCAGTCCATCACCTTTCCAATGTTACATCTTGCAATTACTCTCCACGACTTAAACCAGTATGCAGAAGCTGAGCAGGTAGCCCTGGAAGTTTTGTGCATCAGTGAGAAGGCATTTGGAAAAGAATCTCTTCCAGTTAGTAAGCATGTGCTGCCTTTCGCTTTATGGTGAAACTGTTTTGGTGGTTGTCTTTATGATCCTTGCTATTTGATATGATTGTTGAAAGCCACTACTGCAATTTATAACTTGCGCAGTTGTCAAACCTAACCTTGATTTAACCTGGTGAGATGAGATGAATCAAATGACCGACATGTTCAACAGTTGGGTCATACGATCGAAGCTGATAAACTGGATGATATATACATATATTTTGAAAATGATTGGGTGATGAAAAATATATAAGAAACATTAAAGAGTTATTGAGATTTATATTTTATTTCTATATTGTTTAGTATTAGAACTTTTGACAGGCGTTTACTAAATAATGCTTTACATTACATGTATATGTGAATATAAAAAATTAAATTCTGTGGAATTCATGTAAATATGTGTGGAAAACCTCAGTGCCTATACAATGCACATCTTTTGTCCTCGTGATTGTTTATATGTTGATAAAGTAAGACCATAGTATTTTAGCCATGCTTACATGCTTGCTTGTGGGTATATATTATGTGCCGAGAAATTAAAATATAGAGACAAAAGTTGCATAGATGATATAAAAAAGTAGTGACAATTGCACGGAGGCACGATAGCTTGTGTTGCCTAGTGCATAAAAGGTTGAATTAACAATCTAGGTTCTGTTTCATAGTAGTTGTATTTTTATAAGAACAAATTCGTTACCCTGTCCAAATCTAATGCTAGTTCTAACCGTGATTATTTAATATAATATAATAGTGGCTCCACACCATGCTTATCAGATTGACATCTATCTTTTCCGTAATATTACCCACAATCTCTTTTTTATTTCGATTTCTATTATATTTATGTATTTTTCTATGTTTTGGTGTCTCAGGTGAAGCTCTCGACTGTTTGGTTTCTATTCAGACCAAACTAGGGAAGGATAATATCGAGTTATTGGTACTTCTGAAGAGGGTTCTCGCAATTCAAGAGAAAGCGTTTGGTTATGAGAGTAAGGAGGTTATACAAACCCTGAACAAAATTGTATTCTACCTAGACAAAATGGGAATGAGAGATGATAAATTTCCTATGCAAAGAAGGTTGTCTATGCTTAGAACCAAATACAAACATATGGTTCAATATTAGGTTGTCGTCACTATTTGTAACCACGGTCCAGATCTAAATCTTTTGTCGATGGCATTATATTCAATACCAAGAACTTCAAATTCTAGTACAGTTGCAAGTGCATCTCTTTCATTCTCTCAAGTCTTTTTTTTTTTTCTCCTCTCTATCTCTCTATATATGTATGTATTTATGTCAACAAATTTTTAATGTTTTTGTTCAACTTCATCGGTATCAAACTTGATGTTTTTGTGTATAGACTTTTGTACACATGATGATGATAATAGGAGGTGGGGTTGAGAGTAAGTGCTGGATTTGCGTGTTGACAACCTACTTTGGATCTGGATTTGTAATAGTGAGAATTTAAGTCAGTGCTTAGTGAAATTTTTGAGTTACCAAAAAACAAATTTCATTTTTTTTTTTTTTTGGTTTTGTTTTTGAACAGAGAAAATTAGGACCAAAGCAAACAAAACACTATGCAGCTCCAAACAAACAAAACAGAGCAGGAGGAGGATTTAACACCCAATCTATAAGAAGCTGATCATGAAGGCAGGCCTGAGCTACCCAATGAGCCAACTGGTTCAAAGATCTGGGACTCTACCGAAGAGAGAACCTCCCGTAGACTGCCATTCGCTTGATATCATAGATAATTGCTCCACATTCCCATGGGGGAGCAGTTTCAGAGATACTTAGCTGAATCACGGACTTGTTATCCCCTTCAATCACCACATCGACAGATTGCAAGCTTGAGCTAGAAGACAAGCCCACGGACAAGACAAGGCCTTACCTTGGAGGGGGGATGAGATGCAAATTTTCTTTGAGGCCATCCAACAGCTTTCCATTCGAGTCCCACAGCACTGCAGCAACAGCTTTCCATCCAATACCATTTTTATCAAAAATAAATTTTTATAATAAAAGTTGGGAAAAATAATAAAAACAACTCCAATGTTTGAGTCTTGTAACAAAATAAATTTTTAATTTTTAATTTTTTTGATTTAAAATCTGATCTTTTATTTGCTTTCAAGGGTGAATTACACTAGTAGTCCTTATAGTTTGAGACTTATGTCATGTTGGTTCCTGACTTTTCAATTGTGATATATTTGACATTAAATTTTGAATCTTGTTCCAAATAAGGACAATTGTAGATACTATTGGATTTTTCAAGGACAAAATTGTCAATTTGATAAAATATAAATTAATTTGACAAAAATAAATGTCAAAAAATTATTTTTGAATTTTTAAAAATTATTTCTAGCTACTAAAGATAAAATTATATAAAATTGATAAATCTTTTAGACATTTTTTTACCAAATTAATTTTTTTTATGGATTTGGATGATAATCATGTAAAATTAATTTTAAAAAATTAATCGTGTAATTTTTATTAATTTTTATCAATTTTACATAATTTTATTTTTGGTGGGTAGAAATCATTTTTAAAAAAAATTTAAATATTTTTTTGACATTTATTTTTGTCAAATTAGTTTATATTTTATCAAATTGACAATTTTGCCCTTGAAATTAAGCAATAGTATGTTCAAGGGAAAATTAGTCTAAGGTCCCTCTTCCATATTTGATAATGTAATAGATCCACAATCTTATTTTATTATGTTTAAGGTCCTCCACACCCCCTCCCACCACTATCTCTCTCTCCCCGATCTCATCGCTTCGCCTCCGTCGTAGTTATCACCTCCTCCACTGTTGCTGCCAGCACCTCTCCTTCAGATCAACTTCGCAGATCGCCTCTCCCTTTAGATCAGCGCCTTTCCTCCACCATCATCACCATTTCTCTGCAATTCACAGACCACACGAGACATTCATTGATGACGAAAGAAGGAAGCTTTTGCCCAGATTTCAACTTTCAGAGCTTTCAGGGTTTTTAAAGTAAGAGCTTCTCAGATTCACACTCTCAATTTGTCCCTTTCTCAGGTATTGTTTATGTTTGACTTGCTTGGATGAATCAGCTGTCATTTCCTACACCAAATAACACACCATGAAGACATATTTTCTCTAAGGAAAACAAATTTTTCACTCAATACTAAAAACAAATATATATATATATATATATATAGCACTATTTTGGGCTGAGTAGAAAAATTCACCAGCTTGAAGAAAACAATAGAATCTCATTTTATATGAAGGGACAATCAAAAGGATATTCCACAACCAAAACATGCATAGAATCAGTATCAATAAATGTGGGAACAGAGTGAACATGGACAAAATCAACAATCAAAACTACCACAAGGTTAAGATCTTTAAAATCTGTCAAAACACATCACAAGGGATGCGCTTGGTTCCTTAATTCCCAAGAACTTATTACTACATTAGTAAGCCAAAAAATAGCTTCATTAATGCTTGCACTGTCAATGTCACAAGCAGGAAAATTAGATGATGGTACCGCCACCAAAGTACAAATGATATATATATATATATATATGTAATGTATATATGTAACATAATAGGCTTCATTGCATTTTCCCCCCTCTGTATTTATCTTCTTGATGTATACAAAGTTGCCTATGATATTAAAGCAGAGAAATTTGCCTCCATCTTTGGCATCCCAATCACAAAAATTGAAATTTCTCTGGATTGGAGAGGAAGAATTTCTCTGGTTTGGGTTGAAGAGGGAGAATTTCTCTGGGTTAAGTGAATTTCTCTGGATTGGAGATGAGAATTTCTCTGGTTTTCAGTAAATTTCTCTGAGTTAGAGAGGGAAATTTCTCTGGATCGAAGTGAATTTCTCTGGAAAGTCCAGAGAAATGTGAGATTTTCTCTGTGCAGTCCAGAATTTCTCTGAATAGAATTTCTCTGGGAAAAATTTCTCTGGGCTGAAATTTCTCTGGACTGGAATTTCTCTGGACTGAAATTTCTTTGGATCAATATTGAGGGATCTTAGACATTATGAAAATATTAGATGTCTTTTATACTATAAAGTCTTAATACCAGAGACCCTAAAAAAAAACCCCCAATTTAGGGGTAATGTTTTAAGCTCTAGCATTACTCATAAGAAAAGTATACATACCATTTGATTTTTAAAATTTAAAAATTAAGTGGCATATATCTCTTGTATTAATAAAATTGAGTCCATTAAATTGATACTATTATCTAAAATGTGAAATAATTAGAGATTATTTCATTACATATTATAAAATATTAATAAAATAAAAATTTAGTAAAATAATTCTTATAAAATTAAAAAATCATCCTAGTTCGACCCAGAAAATTCAAAAAGCAAGATATGTTTTCTAGGACCCTACTTGTAATGCATCCCGAGTAAAATATCAACTCATAAAAGTTGATAGAAATGTTTCAAATCATCATCAGCAACAACAACAACAAAAAGGATGATAGGGAACTATTTTTTTTAATTATCATCTTCAACAATACTCTTTATATATATATATATATATATTATTTTTTTTCTTTATCGTTTTTTATTAAAAATATATTTCTAAACTCTCTCCTCTCTCCTCCACTATTTAAGGGGTTAAAAGTTCATTCCCTTAAATATAGAGTTGAGTAGCAAAACTGTTGAAAAGAATTCCTTGATATTTCACTTCTTAAATTATGAAAAAAAAAGTGACAATATAGGCTATGTTTGGGGAGTCCAAATCCTCTTTAGCCCTCCCTTTGGTCAACGGCCAGGATTTAGCTACGTCACCCCTAACAAAAGCTACGACTCAAATTAGCTAACATAAAAAAAATAAAAAATAAAAAAATTGAATTGAATTCAGCATAGCAAAACAGAGATTCCCACGTGAAAGATTCAACAAACAAAAAAAGAGAGAAGGAGATGGAGGGTTGTCCGACGACTAGTGGTAATTTCAGCAACAACAAATAACAATAATTGCAGCACAAAAAATGAGAAAACAAGGCTCTGGTTCGCGGTTGAAATCTTCGGAGTAAGAAAGATATGTTGAGGGAGAAGGAGACAGACAGAGGAAGAGAGAGAGAGACTGAGGAGCCGTCGATGTTCGTTGCCGTCAATGTCATGAGGGAAACCTCTGTTTTGCTGTGGTGAATTCAATTCAATATTTCTTTTCTTTTCTTTTTTTTTTTTTTTTGTTAGCTAATCTGAGCCATAGTTTTTGTTAGGGGTGACGTGGCCAAATCTTGGCCGTTGACTGGAGAGAAGGCTAGAGAAGAGGGTTGGAGAGGATCTGGACTAATGTTTGGGATACCACTTTGAACTAAAATAGTCATATAGGATAAAATATGTTATTTTAGTTAAATAGGACAAAATGTCACATCTAATCATCATTTTATTTTTTCTCTCACAAAAGTCAAAAAAATCTATCTCAAATGAGACTTTTTAGCTCCACACTAAAATAGTTAAAAAGTCAACTCATATCTCAAACGAATGCATAGAACCTGTTAATGTTGTTCGTCCCAGTGAATGGATCAGACAGGTCTAAGCTCCTCCAGCCCGTGTCCAGATGATCAAGCCCACCAGGTAACCTGCAAGTAAGTTCAACGAGGAACGGAGTAGTCCCCCAGCGAACTCTCCGATGAACAAGTTAGGAAGAGAAGTAGAGTATATGGGAGAGGATTTGAGATAGAGAACTTAACCTTTTTTCTTGTCTACAACATTTGCTTATATCCTTTTGTCATCATTTCGTTGTCCCTTCCGACCTGCTCTCCTTGCCGAAAGCCTATGCTGTAGCTTACCTTGCTCAGGGTAAGGGGGTCCTGTTCCGACGGAGAGGTATTGTCGTAATAAATGTTGTGATGGACTGCATTAATGGTGATGTGTAGTGGCAATAACTTTGCAGATCTTTGTCTGCTGATGTGGCTCGTCCTCCACCCGCCGCGTGTCTGAATGCTGTTGGTTCTTGGTGCCATATTGGATTCCAGCTGTTCCGGACTCCATCGGCAGGGTTATGCATTGGGCCCCGAATGATGGGCTCTGGTTGTTTATAGTGGTTCATGGCCCTTGTGGGCCTGTCTATGTCAGAACCTATTTGAAATGATCTAAAGGATGAAATTGTGAGGGATTAGTGGCTGGGTGACAATAGTCAATAAATCGTATGAATTTACTTCTCGTAGTTTATATATATTATCTATTGTGATTTAAAAAATTATAAATATTTTTTTACAATTTTTTTTATTTAATAGAATTAATTAAAAAATAAGATTCTTAACTATTTTTTTATACAATAACAAAATTATTTGAATTATTAATTGAAATATATTTATGATATCATTAAAAATTGCTGATTGAATTAATGATTTACTGATAAAAGATATCATTTATTATGAAATTAAAAATTTTAGGAGACATATTGTTATTTTCAGAACTACAAAATATAACTCATATTTTAAACAAATATTAAATATGTATTTGTAATTTATCTTAAATCTTATAAACAATTTGAATTTTTTTAAATTTAATTACACTTTTTTTTTGAAAAAAAAGGAGAGATGAGAAAAGAGGAAGGAGAAAAAAAACAGAACAAGGAAGACACAGGAAAACAACGCGAGAGAACGACAGAAAAGAGAGCTTTTCCCATATTAAGCCTCTTTTGCATCTTATTTCCCAAACTATGCCTAGTTTGGACGGATTTCTCAAACTAAGTTAAAGCGCTATTACAAATCGCGCTTTCACTGTTTGGAGCCCAAAATTTGATGAATAGTGAAAGAACTATTGTAAAACGCGCTTTTAATTAAGAAATCGCTGTTTTAAATCGTGCTTTTAACATAAATTTTTTTTGTGAAGAAAACGCTATTTGAAATCGCGCTTTCACTGTGCATATATATATATATTTTTTTTAGAAAACGTTATTGCAAATAGCGTTTCTACTGTTGAAACACAAACCAAAACCAACCCACGCTTTGACACACACACACACCCACAACACTGGAGCATTGAAATAATATAATTTTTATATATAATAATAATTTATAATAATCAATTATATAATTTTTATAATTTTCGTAAATATAAATCATTTTTAGGTTATAGATGGTTTGATTTATAATACGTATGTAAGGGTAAAAATTTTTATAATCAAAAATAATTTATAAATTATCAAAAATAATTTATAATACGTATGTATTATTTAAATCTTTACATTTTTTATTTAAAATTTTTTACAGTAAACCGATCTTCACATTTTATAATACGTATGTATTATTCAAAAATAATTTATAAAAATTTATAATTAATACGTATGTAAATAATTTAATACGTATCTTCACATTTACATTTACAGTAAACCCATCTTCACATTTACATATGTATGGTTTAAGGGTAAATTTTTTGATAAATGACTTAAATGATAAATCAAACCATCCATAACCTAAATTTTTTTACCCTTACATACGTATGGTTTAAATAATTTATAAAAATTATTGCCATACGTATGTAAAAATCGATTATAAAAATTGCAAAAATTGATTATAAATTTTTTTATATATAATAATAATTTATAATAATCAATTATATAATTTTTATAATTTTCGTAAATATAAATCATTTTTAGGTTATAGATGGTTTGATTTATAATACGTATGTAAGGGTAAAAATTTTTATAATCAAAAATAATTTTTTCAATTTTTATAATCAAAAATAATTTATAAATTACCAAAAATAATTTATAATACGTATGTATTATAAAAAATTTTATAATAATTTATAATACGTATGTATTATTTAAATCTTTACATTTTTTATTTAAAATTTTTCACAGTAAACCCATCTTCACATTTTATAATACGTATGTATTATTCAAAAATAATTTATAAAAATTTATAATTAATACGTATGTAAATAATTTAATACGTATCTTCACATTTACATTTACAGTAAACCCATCTTCACATTTACATACGTATGGTTTAAAGGTAAATTTTTTTATAAATGACTTAAATGATAAATCAAACCATCCATAACCTAAATTTTTTTACCCTTACATACGTATGGTTTAAATAATTTATAAAAATTATTGCCATACGTATGTAAAAATCGATTATAAAAATTGCAAAAATTGATTATAAATTTTTTTATATATAATAATAATTTATAATAATCAATTATATAATTTTTATAATTTTCATAAATATAAATTATTTTTAGGTTATAGATGGTTTGATTTATAACACGTATGTAAGGGTAAAAATTTTTATAATCAAAAATAATTTTTGCAATTTTTATAATCAAAAACAATTTATAATACGTATGTATTATAAAAAATTTTATAATAATTTATAATACGTATGTATTATTTGAATCTTTACATTTTTTATTTAAAATTTTTCACAGTAAACCCATCTTCACATTTTATAATACGTATGTATTATTCAAAAATAATTTATAAAAATTTATAATTAATACGTATGTAAATAATTTAATACGTATCTTCACATTTACATTTACAGTAAACCCATCTTCACATTAAACTTTTACCCTTACATACATATTATAAATCAAACCATCCATAACCTAAAAATGATTTATATTTACAAAAATTATATTATTTCAATGCTTCAGTGTTGTGTGTGTGTGTCAGAGTGTGGGTTGGTTTTGGTTTGTGTTTCAACAGTAGAAACGCTATTTGTAATAACGTTTTCTAAAATTTTTTTTATACGCATAGTGAAAGCGCGATTTCAAATAGCGTTTTCTTCACAAAAAAAATTTATATTAAAAGCGCGATTTGAAACAGTGATTTCTTAATTAAAAGCGCGTTTTGCAATAGCGTTTTCATTATTCATCAAATTTTGAGTTTCAACAGTGAAAACGCGATTTGTAATAACAATTCAGCCTAATTTATCTAAACTAAGTCTAATTTGAGAAATAAGATGAAAAGGGCTTAATATGAGAAAAGTCGCCAGAAAAGAAACAAAAAATAAGATGGGAAAATCGGTCTAGGGTCCCTCTTCCACTTTTCGTAATGGAAGAGGTCCACAAAATTATTTTTTGATGTCTAAGGTCCTAAACATATATCAGACAAATTTCAGTCAAACCCATTGACACCCCTCTCTCTCTCCCTGTTGGACGATTTTTTCTCGATTATTTTCAACAACTCGAAGATCGATCGATTGTGAAATTCTCGATCGAAGTTTTTGATTATCGCTTTGCCAATGTCTTCAACGAAGCCATCAAAAGCCTCGAATTCGAGATCAAAAGCGTCGAAGATGTGAAGAAAATGCAATGGGAAACGCTGGAAGGAGAGATCACGACGTTGATCAAAGTCGTGAAGCACTGCGCCTCCGTGCTCTTCCCCGGCGAACGCAAGCTCTGCGATTCCATCTTCTCCGAGAATGCATCCATCGCCGTCTACCTCTTCAGCAACCTCGCACGCGCCGTCGTCATCCAACTCCTCAACTTCGTCGACGCGGTGGTTCAAACCAATCGATCGGCGGAGAAGCTTTTCAAATACCTAGACATGTACGAAGCTCTCCGAGATGTGATTCCAGACATCAACAAATCGTGCTCCGACGAACTCGCAGCCGAAATCTCCACCTCCGGCGATCGGATCGGAGAAGCCGCCGTCCACATCTTCTGCGATCTCGAAAACTCCATCAAAGGAGACGCCGCGAAAACTCCGGTAGCCGGTGGCGCAGTTCACCCCCTCACCCGCTACGTCATGAACTATCTAAAATACGCGTGTGAGTACAAAGTCACACTAGAACAAATCTTCCAGAAGAACAAGGCACTCGTTCCATCAATCAAACATGAGAGAGAAAGCCCAAGCCACAATCAGACGGGTGAAAACTCATCATCATCACCGTTCGCTACACAGCTAATGACCGTGATTGATCTCCTGGATCTAAACCTCGAAACAAAATCGAAACTGTACAAAGACCCATCTCTCCGATTCATATTCCTGATGAACAATGGCAGATACATAATGCAGAAGATCAAAGCAGCAAGTGAGATCCTCCAATCGATGGACGACACGTGGTACCGAATTCGATCGAGCGATGTGAGGCAATACCACAAGAACTACCAGAGAGAAACTTGGGGAAAAGTTCTACAGTGTTTGGGGCACGAAGGATTGCAAGTGAATGGGAAGGTTCACAAACCGGCATTGAAAGAGAGATTCAAAAATTTCAGTGCCATGTTTGATGAGATTCAAAAGACGCAGAGCACATGGGTTGTGAGTGACGAACAGCTTCAGTCGGAGCTCAGGGTGTCCATCTCAGCGGTGGTGATTCCGGCGTACCGGTCTTTTTTCGGCAGGTTCAGGCAATACTTGGATTCAGGGAGACAAGGGGAGAAGTATGTAAAGTATCAACCTGAAGATATTGAGACCATGATTGAGGGACTCTTTGATGGGAATGCTAGTTCAATTGGTAGGAAAAAAAATTAGAGGTACTCATATCATTTTTAATGATCAAAATCAATATCAATTTTTAATTTACTACACTAAAAAAAACAATTACTATATTTTGATTATCTCAATATAATGGTGGCACAATTAAGTTTTATATTATCGCCATATTGAACTAGATGGATAGAACCTTTTTTAATAAATTAGTATCAAGGTTTTTAGAATTTTGTGCACACAATATATTTTTTTAATTTATTTATTTTTTAAATGTTTGAATACCTAACAATGTTGATATATATATGTTGTTGTGAAAGATAATTTCATTTGCTTATTGGGCTCAATCGAGACACGTGATTAGATAAAGTAGTGTTTTAAAAAATTGATAAAAATTAATTTTTTAATTTTTTTGATAATTTTTTTGACATAAAAAATAGATTATTTTGGTCCAAAAAAAATTAAAAAGTCAAAAAAATTGACTTTTTATCATTGTTCCAAAAGACCCCAAACTGAGCAGTTGCTTACCTAATGAATCACAATGATTTGGATGTGAATGAGAAGAAAAGTAGAGAAACTCATCCAGAGAAATTTGGTCCAGAGAAATTTATCTGGACCAAATTTCTCTGGACCAATTTTCTCTTGTTCCAGTTGAATTCAGTTGAACAATGTTGCTTACCTAATGAATCACAATGATTTGGATGTGAATGAGAAGAAAAGTAGAGAAACTCATCCAGAGAAATCTGGTCCAGAGAAATTTCTCTGGGCCAGAATTTCTCTGACCAATTTTCTCTGCACTGAAATTTCTCTGGACCAAATTTCTCTGGACTGAAATTTCTCTGGACTGAAATTTCTCTCGATCAAGGTTGAGGGACCTTAGATATTATGAAAATATTGTTGAGGGACCTTAGACATTATAAAAATATTTAATGTCCTTTATGCTATAAAATGATAATACCAGGGATCTTAAAAAAAAAACCCTAAATAAGATACCACTCTGTTTCGGTGAAACTAATTAAAAAAAAAAAGGGTGGTTCTTCTGCGTCTAGTTTTCATTGGATCACACCAACGACCGAATAAGGCCGGCGATATCCGGGGTAGGTTTACAAATGGGGCTTCCTCTGCTCTAGCTTAGGGTTTGTGTACATAATTAGATGAGAAATAGAATTCACCGAATTTTAGATCTGCAATCGGAGTTTGATGAAAGGCGGCACGATTTTCTCTGGACAGGGGCGCGTCGGTCTCCAATTCTTTTGCGAAGCATAGAAAGTTCATCAACATCAACATCAACATCAACATCAACCTCAACCTCAACCTCAACAGTCTCACAATCTTCTGATGCTCCTCCGCCTGAGAAATTGGCCTATATATGTGTTCACGACGATCATAAGTATGAGTGGTTCTTGTTTGACGTCTCCAATGGCATCGATCACAACCAAGCTGCTCCTCCTTTGAAATATTTTAACTACCTTACTCGTTTTCACGAAGACGATGATTGCGGAGAAGCAAATCTCAAACCCAAAGCGACTGTAGAAGTGGAGCGGATACTTGACTGGACGATATTGGACTCCACGATTTTGGACTCCAAGACATTATATATTCTTAATGGCTCCAGGGATGATTCGAGGGGACCTTCGAATGTGGTGGATCGTATTGACCTTAGTAATCCCATGGAAAAATGGGAGCCCCTGTTCCCCACGACTGGGTTCAATGAGTCAGATATCAGAAAAAACTCTTCCCATCTTTTTCAGCGTTCTCAGCTTTCACGGCAAGTTGTATTTGCTGGATCACTCTGAATATGATGAGTCGGTGAGGCAGTCACAGTCACCGTCACCGGTAGCCATGGCTTACGACCTGAGCGTAAAAGAGTGGAACTCAGAAACCCTGCCCCCCATGCCTTGACCTTGAAAAAATATTCTCAGCAGCTATAAAGGTCCCCGAGCCAATGTCCCCTCCAATATCGGACTCGGGGAGGCATCGACTATGGTTCCACGTGTTCAACCCGGGACCAAATAAATTGGAATGGGACATGGATTATCTGTCTATCCCTGAACGTCACTGTAAGGTTGACAGTATAGTCTCAGCTGCTGGACATTTCCCCGATCCATGTCTTGTGGTGGGTTCGGCTGTGGATGGTTTCCTTCATATCTACCATGAAAACACCGGGTGGTGTGAAAGACGAGACTTTTTATGTCACCCAACCATGTTTGGTTGAAATGTGCTAACAGGGCCAGCTTTGGCTGTTGACAGTTAAGTTGTATTGGTATTCGGTTGAAGATCGGCTCCTACTTGCATATGATTTAAAGACAGAGTTATGGTTCTCGGGAGATTTACCTATCCATGACCATGGAGAGCAATTTGGAGTGCAAGATTATGACACTTCTCCTCGCTTGGCTCATTTAGGTGGCCGCAAGTTTTGCTTGATGTGGGTTTCTGTATTGCCGGTCAGATATAGGGATAATCCAGATTTTCCAAAGTCCAAAGCTGACTGTATTTCTCGCCTTCACTGTATGAAGCTTCAAGTTAATGCTCAATTGGGTTGCCGATTGAGTTCAACTATTCCATTGATGGTCTTTGCCTTGTCATGCCAATCTTACTTAGCTTCTGGGTTAAAGTCTTTCTGCGGTGGCCTGGTGGTGCAAGTAAGTATCTTCTTAATTTCCATGTACCTCTTCATTTTCAATTGTTCTTTTTATTGCTGTAATTTGTCTTAGCTGGGTTTGTGCTATAATTATTATATACATCACTGCCATTTTTGCCGAGCTTAAACAACTTATTAATTTTTTAGACAAAAAAAATCCAGAGAAAAATGATTTATTGTCAAGCTAAAATAAAAGTGAAGTAAGTCAATACCAAATGCTACCACCTTTATTTTTCAACATGTCCTTTCTGTAACATTAGTATGGACTTCCACTTACTCCAAAATTCAGTGTTTTTGAAGGTGATAAAGCAAGCTGGGGCTATGTTGGGATGTTCAATTGATTCATTTCCTCTCAAATATCTGGGGCTTCTGTTGGGAAGAGATCCTAGATTGGCGTCTTTTTGGGAACTTGTTCTTGTCAAAATTGGGAAAAGATTGGAGGGATGGAAGCGAGCTTTGTTGTTTAAGGGAGGGAGTATACGTTGGTACAATCATATTAGGATTTGTTCCTATTTATTTCCTGTCCCTTTTCAAAATTCCGGTTAGCATTGCAATAAAGATTGTGAAACTGATGAGGGATTTTATCTGGGAAGGGTGTGATGAGGGTAAATGGGTTCATTTGGTTAGGTGGGAGACTGTTTCTCTTTCTAGGGCAAAAGGTGGCTTGACTATTGGAAATATCGTTGCTAGGAATATTGCTTTCTTGGGCAAGTGGTTGTGGAGATTTCCTCTTGAAAGTGAATCGTTATGGTGTTCAGTTATTAAAAGCAAGTATGGAGTTCAATCCAATGGTAGAGATTCTAATGTGGTTAATAGAGGCAATTGTTGTTCACCGTGGAAATTCATTTCTCATTTGTATCCTCTTGTGTCTAATTTTTTTTCATTCAGAGTGGGGAATGGAGAGAATGTCCGGTTTTGGAAGGATGTTTGGTTAGGGGATATTTCGTTTGCTAGATCTTTTTCCCTTCTTTACAAGTTGGCTCGTTCTCCAAATGTGTCAATAGTGTCGGTGGCTTGCTCTTCTATGGCACCCATCTCTTAGAATTTTGATCTCGTAAGAAACTTGAATGATAGGGAGGCGGGGGAGTTGGCCTCTTTGTTGGTAGTGCTCGAGGGGGCTTTTCTTTCTTCGTCTTGTGATAGTAGGGCGTGGAATCTTGTTTCTTCAGGGGTCTTTTCATGTAAATCATTTTTTGACAAGATTATTGATAATCCCTCGGTTCCCTTGTTCCCTTTTCATAAGAAAATTTGAAAAGCGGGTGTCTCTCATAAAGTGAAGTTTTTCATGTGGTATTTGGCTCAAAAGGGTGTTACAACTAATGATGTTTTCTAGAGGAGAAGGCCTAATCACTCTCTATGCCCTCAATGGTGTGTGATGTGCAAGAGAAATTTGGAGGTAGCGGATCACCTATTTCTTTATTGCCCGGTGGCTTCTGTATTATGGCAGCGTCTTTTCAGTTTATCTGATGTGCAGTGGGTTGCTCCACGGGAGTGTATGCATATGCTTCTTATTAGGTTTGACGGGTTTAAGAATACCAAGAAAGCCAAAACAATGTGGATAAATATTGTTTTTGCTATTTTTTGGGTTATATGGTTGGAGAGAAATGCTCGAGTCTTTGAAGGCAAGGAAGTAAGTGTAGAGGCTTTGTGGGATAGGGCGGAATATTTGGCCTCATTTTGGACATTTGTATCTCCTCCTTTTAAAGGAGTCCCTTTGTTTTTGATCTCTAGGGATTGGGTTACTGTTTGCCATCCTTAGGGTTACGAGTTTTGCAATTTTGTTTTGCTTTTTCTTCTTCTCTTTTTCTTTCTTTACATGAGGACTTCTTGTCCTCTTTCTCTTTTCTGTTTTAATAAAATTTTGTTGTTGCTCAAAAAAATAAAATAAAGCAAGCTGAGGCAAGAAGGCCTCCTGTGCACGAGGCAATGGGAAGGCTTTATTGAAGTGAGCTCAAGCCCAGTTCCTTATCGAGTCGAGCTCGAGCTCAATAATCGAGGTCAATGAGTAAACAAGCCGAGCTCGAGTTCAGCAAAGCTCGGCTCAGCTCGGTTCGTTTGCAACCCTAACAATACACCAAATTTCAACAGACTATGATCTGCCATCATCCATGGCCTATATAAGAGTCATATAGTTGGGGACATATTAGTCTTGGGTGTGCCCAGGGCTGGTTTTTATCCTTAGAATTACATTTCTTGCATGCCGTGGGGCTCTTCTCCCATCCATTTTTTCACTTATGTTTGATTTTTATGGTTGTCATGCTAATGGGATGGTCATTTAGGATACTCTGATGTCCGACAACTGCTGGTGGTATGTTAGCATTTCCTTTTCTTTTCCCCATCAGAATACGTCATTTCCCCCCCTAAAGAGTACATCGTTATAGAGTTGTACATCTTTCTTGCATGCCGTGGGGCTCGTCTCCCATCCATTTTTTCGCTTATGTTTGATTTTTATGCAGTGTTTTGAAAAGCGCGCTTAGGCGCGCGCCTAAGCCCAAGGCGAGATGAAGCGCAGCATTGCTCCTCAAGCATGGCGAGGTGAGGCGACATGGGCAAGGCGCAAATGAGGCGACGAAGCGCGTGCTTTATTATAAAGCTTGAGGCGTGCGCTTCATGCGCTTCAAATGTATTTCACTCCAACAGCCCCCATTTGTTTACTGTGTGGATACCCACATGGGATTACATCTCATTTACATTATAAAACGATACAAACGATACAAACATGGGTCAACAACAGTGCAAAAACATTTTAAAAAGCCCTAGTGGAGAAGAAGAAGAAGAAGCGACGTGAAGAAGAGTATGAGACACGCCAAATACACAGGTTCTCTTCTCCTCTCTCTCTTCTCTGGTTCTCTTCCCTTCTGGTTCGACTATTCTCCTCTTCTTCTCCTCTCTCTTCTCTGCCTCTGTTATACCCTGTTTTTTTTTTTTTTTTTTTTTCTTTCTTCTGGTTCAATTCTTCTCCCCTGGTTTGATTCTTCTCCTCTTCTTATCTTCTTCTCTTTCCTGCCTCTATTATACCCTTTTTTCTTTTTTCTTTTTTTTTTTTCTTCTGGTTCGATTCTTCTCCTCTGGTTTGATTCTTCTCCTCTTCTTCTCTTCTTCTCTTCTCTGCTTCTGTTATACCCTATTTTTTTTTTCTCTTCTGGTTTGATTCTTCTTTGACTGTTCTGGTTCGATTCTTCTCCTCTTCTTCTGCTTTGACTGTTCTGCTTCTCTTCTTCTCTTCTCTCTCTTCTCTGGTTCTTTTCTCTGCCTCTGTTCTAATCTCTCTTTTTTTTTTTTGCTTTACTGTGTTGGTCTTCTTCCCTTCTCGTCTTCTTCCCTTCTCGTCTTCTTCTCCTCTTCTCTAATTTGTTCTTCTTCTCTTGCTCTGTTTTTTTTTTCCTCCTCTGTTCTACTCTGTTTCTTTTCCCTGTCAAGATAATAATAATAAAATGAACACTGAATCAGTGCATATAGTCTCAATAGGTACATACATAATAAATGACAACACCCGAGAGTGGAAAAAAAGATCCGGCATGGAAGTATGCAACAATGGTAAATCCTGAAAATCTAAGCAAGTTCAAGTGTAATTTTTGTGGAAAAGAGATGAATGGGGGTGTTTTCCGAGTTAAGCAACATCTTGTTGGAGGGTATAGGAATGTAATTAAATGTCCTAGATGCCCAACTGAGGTTAGTAATGAGGTGGCTGATTATATGGCAAAAAAAAAGCAACTAAAGGATCAATTAAACTTGATGCCTGACTTTGATGAAATGGTCAACGAAGAAGATTTTGAAGATGAGGATGATGTTGTAGAAATCTCTCCACATGGTAAACAGCCTGTTCCTATTCAAGGTTCTACTCGAAAAACTACCTCTACATCCATTCAATTGAAACCTAAAAAGCCTAGGAAGATAGGGCCCATGGATTGTTTCTTCACACCTGAGCCAGAGTTAGTGGTGCAAAAAACAAAAGGCAAGGGAAAGCAAATTAAAATTGATGAAAATGATCCTTATAGAAAAGAGTTAATGGAGAGGGCCTATGTCAGAATTGCAAGATGGATATATGATACTGGAATTCCGTTTAATGTAGTCAATAATGAAAGTTTTGCACCAATGATTGAAGCCATAGGACAATTTGGTCCAGGTTTGAAACCACCAAGTTACCACATGATACGGATTCTTTATCTCAAGAAAGAAGTGAATCATGTCCATAAGTTGATGAAGGAGCACAAAGAGGATTGGGCAAAGTATGGATGTTCTATAATGTGTGATGGGTGGACGGATAGGAAGCATAGAACTTTGATTAATTTCTTGGTGAATTGTCCTAGAGGAACCATGTTCCTTGAGTCCATTGATGCATCTAGTTACTCAAAGGATGCAAACAAGATTTTTAGCTTGCTTGACAAGTTTGTTGACAAAATTGGAGAAGCTAATGTGGTCCAAATTGTCACCGACAGTGCTGCAACAAATGTATTGGCAGGTAAAATCCTCTAGCTCTATTGCAAATAGTGTGCTTTTGTTTTGGTTTTATTTGTTTAAACTAGTATGTTATAAACTTGCAATTTGTAATCTTATAGGGAAGTTTTTGGAGGCAAAGAGACCCCACTTGTATTGGACACCTTGTGCAGCCCATTGCATGGATTTAATGTTGGAAGACATTTTCAAATTACCCAATTTTAAGAAGACATTTGAAAGGGCAATTGGGGCACACGGTTATATTTATAATCGTCCATCTTTGTTGAATATGATGAGGAGTTTCACTCAATTGAAGGAGTTAGTGAAGCCTGCTAAAAGCCGATTTGCACCAGCTTTCTTAACTTTGCAAAGACTTTATCAACAAAGGAACAACTTGAGGAAGATGTTTACTTCGGAGGAGTGGACCAAAAGCAAATGGGCGAAGGAGCCGCAGGGTAAGAAGACAGCTCAAATAATGCTAATGCCTTCATTTTGGAATCATGTTCACCTTGCCCTTCAGTTTTCATGTCCTCTTATTCATGTGCTAAGAATGGTTGATGGTGAAGAAAAGCCTCCAATGGGATATATTTACGAGGCTATGGATAGGGCTAAAGAACTATTGCAAATGCATTCGATGGAAAGGAAGAGAAGTATAAAGAGATCTTTGAAATCATTGATCAAAGGTGGGACATTCAATTGCATCGCCCTTTGCATGTTGCTAGGTTTTATTTAAATCCTAGTTTGTTTTACAAAGATCCAAATGCTGCAAAGGACAAAGAAATCATGACAGGCCTATATCAATGTATATCAAGGTTGATCCCAACATTAGAGGTCCAAGACAAAGTTTGTGCAGAATTAACTAAGTATGAGAAGGCTGAAGGACTTTTTCAAATTCCTATGGCAATTAGACAAAGAAGTACAAGGGTACCAGGTAATCATTTACAATGTTCTATTCTAGTAGTCAATACCTTTTACTTCAAAATGTTTGCTAAGTGCTAACTAATTGTCATGATCAGCTGATTGGTGGAGTTCTTTTGGTCATGAAACTCCTAATTTGCAAAAATTTGCCATCAAAGTACTTGGTCTTACTTGTAGTTCATCTGGCTGTGAGAGAAATTGGAGTGTGTTTGAACATATGAGTACCCGTTGTCAAATCTAGTAGTGAATTCCAAAAACAAATTCAGTTATATACAAATGTAAATGCTTTTTTATTTATTGTTGCAGCTTCACAGCAAAAAAAGAAATAAGCTTGCTCAAAAACGTCTCAATGATTTGGTGTTTGTGAAGTATAATAGAGCATTGAAGCGTCGATACATGAAACGTGCCAATATCGATCCCATCTCTTTGAAAGATATTGATGAGAGCAATGAATGGTTGATTGGGAGGATGGAAAATGAGCTTGTGTTTGATGATGATTCTTCGGGGTGGGATGATGTTGTTGTAGCTGCTGGAGTTGAGGAGAGTAACCAAAGAACTAGATCAAGCACAACTAGGACAACACACCAACATCTTGTAGATGAATGGGAAGATGAAGATGAGGCTGAAGAGGAGGATGTGGATGGATACAAATCCAATGATGATGATGATGGAGGAGATGAAGTTCTTCATGTTGATGATGATGTCTATTAAGTTTTGAGTACAATTATGCAACTATAGGACTTATATATTTTAATTTCCTTTTTGAACCACAAGTTAGAAGCTTAGTTGCATTGAATTATGTGGATGATGATTTTAGTACACAAGGTTTTTGGTGGATGTGAATGTCATACTTTATACCTTTTGTTGGATTTTGTACTTTTTAATATACTACATATATTTGTTATGTTAAAAATTTTGCCTATTCTATAATTTTGCATTGCTTTTATTATGTGCGCCTCTCTTTGGTAAGGCGCGCGCCTCGCCTCGCGCTTCGCGCTTAGGCTACAGGACACCTTATCGCTTCGGTGCGCCTGGAGCCTTTTAAAACACTGATTTGAATTGTAGATAGCTTGTTGTTTTGTAGCTCAATTGAGATTCTAGACTCTTCTATTGATTTTAGGGACTTAATTTTCACTAATTGCTTGATATGGATTCAAAATAGTGCAAGCTTGCTGGCCATTGTTTGATGTGGTTGATTTGGTTGGAGTTTATTATGTGCGCCTCTCTTTGGTGAGGCGCGCGCCTCGCCTCGCGCCTCGCGCTTAGGCTACAGGACACCTTATCGCTTCGGTGCGCCTGGAGCCTTTTAAAACACTATGGTTGTCATGCTAATGGGATGGTCATTTAGGATATTCTGATGTCCGACAACTGCTGGTGGTATGTTAGCATTTCCTTTTCTTTTCCCCATCAGAATACGTCATTTCCCCCCCTAAAGAGTACATCGTTATAGAGTTGTACATCATACATCATGATCCAAGCTTTGATACAAAAAGGAAACCAGTGAACATTAACATACGTACTTAAATCTACACAATAACAACAACCTACTAGGTTCTGGGACAAATGACCAAAATCAACTATTATCAAAAGGAAATGACAAATCACCATCAGAGGCACTCTTAGAAATAGCAGCAAATCTGGATAGGTCAAAAGCTGGGAGGAGAAGGTTTTGCTACAAAGAGTGATTTTGCAAGAATGAAGCGATAGAGCCATAAAACAAACATAAAAAATCCAAGGATCTAAGCTGGCTGCAATATCTCTAAAACCCTTTAGTTGTGTAAACAAAGACAATAAGTTAATAATAATAATATTAACACGTGCAACATTATTATTATTAGCCTATTTTATGGCTGCCAAAACTGCAGCAAGAAGACCAAGTTTCTTTGGACCATAAATGGTTCTAAATAGTGACCCCACCCTGAATGAGTTCATGAATGCTACCATCCCAATACCCAGCACTGAAAATGAGGGTTGTGCAACAAAACCACAAAGTAAGTCTATGACACCTCTATTGTTTGCAAAACAGTTTGGACTTAAAGGGTAGATGAAAGGGTGAATGAGAGGAATTAGAGCAAGAGCTAGAGTGAGGTCTTGACTGTGTTAACAAAGAACTGACCAAACTATTGGAATATCCACCTGTGGGAAACAATTTTGCAGCTGCTGAACATGAAGCAAACAATTCACTGGATAGAAGATGAATTTGAGTAGGAGAAGTGTAGGTTGATTGAAACACCAATTGGTTGCGCATTTTCCAAATAGCCCACAAGATGGAGACAATCTGGATGAGAACACCTTGATGACTAGATGAAAACCAATAAGAGAGAGAAGGAATGGAGATTGATCTCAGGTGTAATCTGAAGTTTGAAACAAACCACACTGGTTGCACCATATTACAGGGCCGGCCAAGGCGGGCAAGGCCGCCACCGCAGGCCCCCAAATTCTGTCTAAAATATAGGGTCCTGAAATAATTTTGATCTTAAGTTATGTTTGGTTAATTATTTCGGTCTTAAGTTATGTTTAGTTTAAATCAAACCAAACCAAACCAAACTAAACCAAACCAAGCCTTAAGTCCCATCAAATGGGGTCGCCTATATGAATCTTTCTTCTCCATGCTTCTCTATCAAAGGCCATTCCGTTAGTCAAATTAAATAGATTCATATCTCTATTTACAACGCTAGCCAGTGTTATTAAAGGCGATAGGCGCACTAAGGCGCCAAGGTCTCCTAGGGCCTAGGCTCAAGGTGCAAGGCAAAGCGCAGGCTTTACCGAAATGAGGCACACCTTGTACAAAAAAAAATATAATTTAATATAATTAAATAATTTAGGGTTCAACATAAACAAAATGAAATGTTAAACATTTAGTGTTCTTCGGAGATTAGGAATGAGGGCTAAATTTTTTTTTTCTATCGTTGATTTGGGATTGAATGCCCAATGTATTGGCATCTGTAATAAGGGTAGAGATCTTCTGTAGTTTCACCATATTAAATCAATAGTCGGATTTTAAACAAAATCAATTAAAGCAACAATAAAAAAAAGCCCTCAAGACACAAGCCTTGGGCCTTATTGTGCCTTGGACCAATCAGGCGCCTTATCGAAGTCATTTGACCTGGAACACTACAAGGCACAAACCTTGGGCCTGGATGAGGCGCACGCCTAGGCGTGCTTTATCAAAGTCGCCTGGCCTGGAACACTACAAGGCGCAAACCTTGGGCCTGAATAGAACTTGGGCTTAGGCGCACACCTGGGCGCGCCTTTAATAACACCGACGCTAGCCATCGTCAATCTAAGCCTACCTCGTCCCCTAACACTTCCATCTACTGTTACTGCATCGCATCTCTTCATGACTGTCTCTGTTAGTCTCCGTTGAATATGACCAAACCATTTCAATTGATTCTCTCTCAATTTATCTTCCATCAGTGTTACTCCTACCCATTCCTGAATATACTCATTCCTAATTCTGTCTTTTCTAGTCTTGCGACACATCAACCTTAGCATCCTCATATCAGCAACAATCATCTTATCTATATGTTTCTTGGTTGCCCAACACTGTCCCATAGCTGGTCTAATTGTCATTCTGTAGAACTTTCCTTTTAGTCTAGTGGGTACTTGTTTATTGCACAGTATCCCAGGCGTACTTCTCCACTTAAGTCACCCCGCCTTAATCCTATAGACCACATCTGCATCAATCTCTCCCGCCATTGTGATAATCGACCTTAAATAATGAAAATATTCACTCTTAGGTTGTTCTTGGTTCTCAATCTTTATTTCTCCTTTGCTTTCATTGTTACTATTACTATTACTAAATTTACACCCTATGTACTCTGTCTTAGTTCTGCTTACCCGGAATCCTTTATATTCAAGTGCCTCTCTCCAAATCTCCAACTTTGTGTTAACTCCTTCTTTAGTCTCATCCACTAACACGATATCATCTGCAAAGAGCATACACCATGGCACATCATCCTGGGTATTTCTTATCAACTTATCCATAACTAAAGCAAAAAGATAAGGATTTAAGGTAGATCCTTAGTGTAACCCTACAGTGATAGGAAATTTATTTGTCTCTCTAGCAGGCGATCTAATAGTGGTTACCACTCCCTCATACATGTCTCTAATCACATCAATGTAACTTTTTGTCACCCCTTTCTTCTCTAACACCTACTAGATTATATCCAAAGACACTCTATCATATGCTTTCTCAAGGTTGATAAATACCATACGAATGCCTCTTTTCTTTTCACTATACTTCTTTATTACGCTCCTCAAAAGATAGATCGCTTCCATTGTTGACTTGCCAAGTATAAACCTAAATTGATTTTCTGACACCTCTGTTATATCTCGCAGTCGGCGTTCCATCACCCTCTCCCACACTTTCATTATATGATACATTAACTTGATTCCTCTATAGTTGCAATTCTAGACATCTCCTTTATTTTTATAGATTGATACTAAAATACTCTTCCTCCACTCATCTGGCATATTCCTAGTCAACAAAATCTTACTAAACAACCTAGTCAACCAAGCAACCCCTTTCTTACCCAAACACTTCGAAGCTTCAATAGGGATATCATCGGGTCCTAAAGCCTTATTTGATTTCATCTTCTTAAGTGCAATCTCCACTTCAAAGTTCCTTATTTAATGGTTTTGGTTTACCGTATTACTAACTATTTCTTCCCCTATTAACATAGTTCCGTGTTCCTTATTTAATAGTTTCTCAAAATGGTTCTTCCATTTCTCCTTAATCTCTTCATCCTTCACCAATACCTTAGAATCCTCACTCTTGATGCGCTTAACTTGATTAAAATCTCTTGTTTTCCTTTCCCGTTTCTTAGCAAGTTTGTATACCCTCTTCTCACCTCCTTACTATCTAATCTAGTGTATAGGTCATCATAAGCTTTCAATTTAGCCTCTCTCACTACTTTCTTAACCTCCTTATTAGCCAATCTATAGCTCTTAAGATTTTCCTCAGTTCTATCATTCTGCCACTTTTTAAAGCATTCTCTTTTTCGCCTTAACTACCGATTGAACCTCTTCCCTTCACTACCAAGTTTTCCTAGAGCTCGGTCTCTTTCCTTTCGACTCTACAAGCACTTCCCTTGAGATTCTCCTCATACAATTGGCCATTGAGTTCCACATAGTGTTAGTATCATCTTCCAAGTCTCAAGTACCTTCCTTGTCCATTATATTCTTAAATATTTCTAGTTTATCTCCTTTTAGGTCCCACCATCTCGTCCTACGATGCCCACCAACCTTCCTAGCTTGGTATTGCTCTTGAAATCATAAATCTAGTACCAAAATCCTATGTTGAGACGCCGGGCTCTCTCCAGGAATCACTTTACAATCACTGCATTTTAGGCGGTCTACTTTTCTTACTAAAAAGTAATCTATTTGGCTCTTAATTGACCCACTCTTAAAGGTTATCAAATGCTCATCCCTCTTTTTATACATAGTATTAGCCACCACCAGGTCAGAAGCCAACGCAAAATCTAAGACACTCTCTCCAGCCTCATTTCTATCACCAAAACCGTATCCACCATGCACCCTTTCATAGCCTAGTTGATCTATTCTTACATGGCCATTGAAATCTCTATTTATAACTAGGTTCTCTCCTACTGGTATCTCTTGTAAGATCTCATCCATTTGCTCGCAAAAATCTCTCTAGTCTGATCATCTAATCCTACTTAAGGGGCGTATGCACTAATAACGTTCACTATATTCTCTTTAATAACTAGTTTAGCTAACATAATCCTATCATCTTTCCTAATGACCGCCACTATATTTTCTACATGACCCTTGGCAACTATGATTCCTATCCCATTCCTGCGTCTATCCTTGCCACTATAATACAGTTTAAAACTGGTATCCTCAATTTCTCTAGCTTTCTCACCCGTCCACTTAGTTTTTTATATGCATGTTATACTAACTCTCCTCCTAATCATAACATCTACCAATTCCATCGTCTTACCAGTTAAAGTTTCTATGTTCCAAGTGGCTACCCTAAACCTATAGTCTTGGACTAGTTTCTTTATCCGCGCTCGTCTAGAAAAACGCGGGAACCTTTGGCCATTTTTTACCACACTCAGGCGTCGATGCGGCTCCCCTTGCTCACTTTTCATCATAATGTCCATCCTCAGTTTTGGTTTACTAAAAATATTAAAAACAAAATCATTGTTAACCGTTGTGACAGAATAAAGAAATGAAGAAATAGTCATTACGTTCCATTTAATTTTATTTGAGTGAACCAAACGCTACATTATAGTATTAATAGTTTAAAAATGAAGTTTTACAAAGAAAAATTAAAAAAAAAATAATAATTGAATTGGTGAATTATTTAAAAGTAATTGATGGTGGTTTGCCAAATATATGAATTATTTACAGTATATTATTTGACTATACCAGTTACATTTGTTTATGGAGAAATAATTTTTTTAAAAAGTTCAAATAGATTAAAATTTGCAATTCAATCTACTACGTGGGGAAAAAGTGTGAATAAATTAATAATGTTAGCAATCGAAAATGTTCAAAATTTATCTCAATAGTTGTGTTTTTTGTTAATCTCTATGACTATGATTTATAATTTATGTCAACTATAAAAATCTTATGAAATTGCTCAGGCAATATAATATCATAGCTATTGTGAAAAATAAATTATAATTGATTCACTTACCAAACCAAACCAAACCAAGCCTAAGTCCCATCAAATGGGGTTCGAGTAAATTTAGGCCAAGCTGGATGGATTATTGAAGCTCATGATGGGCCAAAAAAGGGCTGCTAGATGTTCGAGCAAGCATCAAGCACTTATAGGCAGATTGAACAGAAAAATCGCCTGAGGAAGTAGGAGCCCAAATCTGTCTTATCTGGAAAACCAAATGATGAAAGAGGAATAGTTTGAATGAGTTGGACAATTTGCCTAGGAAAATTGGTAACTAGGATTGAATGATCCCAAGAATTTTGATTAAGTTCAATCAGGTCCTGAACGCAAGAATCAATTGGAAGAGAGCTCTCCAAGGGGTCCACAAAAGGAGATAGGGTTACTAGCCATATAATGGGTGGCCAATAATCATGCCAAACTGATATGGATTCCGTAGAGCTTATTTACAACCTTATCCCAAGCTTAAGTACCTCCGGAATATGTCCTGATTACCTTTTTTCTCAGTTTTTCTTATTATTACTTAAATCATTAAAATAATGTGAACTTTGTCCCTAAGAAGGCTGCATATTGTGTCAGACACCAACACAACACTCATGTGACACTTCTTGACACCTGACGGAGACATGTCGTACTATTCCTAAATTTTTCTAGATTCATATACGCTTTAGACAATTAGTAAGCAAATGTGTCTATTGTTTAGACACACATGATCGAATTTTTTTCCCGCTATTCAGACTGGTTATACTGCAAACAAACAAGAGTACTTCAGATTTTGTTCAGTTAGGCCTTTGGTAGTCTATGACTACTGGCTGGTCTCATTCCATTTTGGCGTGGTATGAGCTCCTGACAGAATTTATGAACCTATTTGGCTCGAGATGGTTCTTAAAGATCTTGGCTTCACTAATAAAAGAGTCAATGAGGTTGTATTGTGACACCGAGGCAAGTATTGATATTGCTCATAATCCCATTCAACATGATCAAACTAAACATATTGACATTGATAGGCACTTTTATCAAAGATAAGTTAAATGTTCAACATATTTGTACTCCTTATGTGAAGACTAGAGATTAATTTGTTGACATCCTAACAAAGGCAATTTTAAGTAACGTGTTTCATAATATCCTAACCAAATTGGGCATGTGTGACATCTTCGCACCATCTTGCGGAGTGTTGGGATATATGTTTTTTGTGTGGAGGGCATTTTTGTAATATTATTGAAACAAGTACAAATTAGAGTTTCAAGGGAGGGAACCTTAACTCTCATTCTTTTCTGGCATCTCTTTCTTCCGTTTTGTCTTCTCTTTCTTTTTGCTCCATCATCTTTTCTTGTTCTTACTCATACATGAAAAATCAACTTTTTTTACGTAAATTTATTGACAAAGCGCCTACTTAACCAGTGATATTCACATTGATTTACATAATCTATATGAGAGTCAATTGAGCTTCGCTAGTTATTTTATTTTTGGTTGATAAATAAGCCAACTTTATTGAAATGCATCAAGATGATGCAACGAATACAGATTCTAGCTATTAAGCTAACAAACAAGACCAAAGCAAAACAGAACAAACAATTAACTAAACAAATCCTCTACAAAATCTACAAAAGTCAGCACATCCGGATCTACCGAAATTGTAATCCAACTATGCAGCATAGTAAGCAAACGACGTTCCATCCAAGGAACCGAGCGCGTCTCACTCAAAAAAATATGCCTATTCCGCTCCAACCAAATCAACCACATCAAACAATGGCTAGCAAGCTTGCACTATTTTGAATCCATATCAAGCAATTAGTGAAAATTAAGTCCCTAAAATCAATAGAAGAGTCTAGAATCTCAATTGAGCTACAAAACAACAAGCTATCTACAATTCAAATGCTATCTTCATAACATTTTAGAAAACACAGACAGGATATGTTGAACAGGAATGGGAATGAAAAACAAAAAGGAAAGAAAAAAATTGAAAGCTTATTAAGACATAGTATATAATACCCAAATTGATAATATCTTGGCAATAGATGGGGCTCATGTAGTACAATACATCATGAGCAATAGCGCTCAACATCACACGCAGACGTCGCACACCATCTAAAGTTAATTTTTCAACTGTCGATTCGCCACTTAGCTTCAAGCCCCTCCTCCGCTAGACAACATACAAGTGATAGTGAGTAGCAATTTTGAAGCCATCTTTTGAGAAGAGAGAAAAGGTCAGACAAAATGAGTTGAGTAATGACAGCACTAAAAAAAGAAGAAGAAAAACCACAATATAAGTGCAAAACAAATTAGAAACAACAACATAAAAATAAAACAAAATTAATAACTCAATATAACAATCTACAAGAATATTGAAATTATTATCAAACCATATAGATTATAAAAAGGCTAAAGGATTTTTAAGCCTACCTGAGCTAAAAAAACAATTTACAATCAAACATGTAATGACTTACAAATTCATGTGTACAAATCTGAATATATGGAAATGCTATGAAATTTCAGGTAGGTTCACAAACAAAAGGTATGCCCAGTCTATTCTAAAACAAATTGTGTTTTACCCCTCTGAGATCCAACCTTGAGATTTTACCCAAGCTTATTTAAAATATTTTCTCAAAATTTTTGTTTTTCCTCAATTGATTCATAGAGTAAATCATCCATAGCGATAAATAGATCCCACATTGCATACCAATATTTAACTAGAAGAGAGTTGGAAATTGCATAAATGACCTTCAGGAAACCACATATAAAGCTAGCATTAAAATACAATGATAATAGAAAAATAATGTAAATTTATATCTATCTACTCTGGATTTTAAAAGATAGTATTACGTTACATTTTGTCATTATTTTATTTAAAATATTTATATACATGGCATATTATAATTATGTATGGCATATAATAAAAATATAATTTATATATTTGGCGTGTCCTCCACAACTCACGTCCTACATTTTATTGAAAATTTCGGTGTTAGCATGTCAAATCGTGTTTGTCTCCATGTACATGTTTCTTAGCTTTGTCCTAAGGACAAAATTTTAGTATTTATAAAACAGGATTTGTTTCCATTTAAATGGTTATATCAAATTGAAACTGCAAGACGAAAACTGGGGTGAAATAAAATTGATGAAACCTAACAATAAACAAAACTGAGAGAAATTGATTCTAAACATAACTAAGGTCTTCTAACAAATGACCAAGTTGAAACCTAAAACAACCAAAATGCAATAATTCAGCCACCGACACAAAATCTCTACAACCAAGGGGACACAAGTACTTCAACTAAGTTGAAGTATTGTGTTTCATAGATGAAAACCAACATTGGCACACCTGAAGTTGATAGATTCCCTATCGGACACCAACACTCATTGGACACGCTGGGATATGTATTGGACAATCCATATGGCATGACCCTTTTTTTAATTATTTTTTCATTGCTCAGACTATAAGATTACAAGTTGCAAGTTTATAACATACTAGTTTAAACAAATAGAACCAAAACAAAAGCACACTATTTGCAATAGAGCTAGAGGATTTTACCTGCCAATACATTTGCTGCAGCACTGTTGGTGACAATTTGGACCACATTAGCTTCTCCAATTTTGTCAACAAACTTGTCAAGCAAGCTAAAAATCTTGTTTGCATCCTTTGAGTAACTAGATGCATCAATAGACTCAAGAAACATGGTTCCTTTAGGACAATTCACCAAGAAATTAATCAAAGTTCTATGCTTCCTATCCGTCCACCCATCACACATTATAGAACATCCATACTTTGCCCAATCCTCTTTGTGCTCCTTCATCAACTTATGGACATGATTCACTTCTTTCTTGAGATAAAGAATCTGTATCATGTGGTAACTTGGTGGTTTCAAACCTGGACCAAATTGTCCTATGGCTTCCATCATTGGTGCAAAACTTTCATTATTGACTACATTAAACGGAATTCCAGTATCATATATCCATCTTGCAATTCTGACATAGGCCCTCTCCATTAACTCTTTTCTATAAGGATCATTTTCATCAATTTTAATTTGCTTTCCCTTGCCTTTTTTTTTTTTGCACCACAAACTCTGGCTCAGGTGTGAAGAAACAATCCATGGGCCCTATCTTCCTAGGCTTTTTAGGTTTCAATTGAATGGATGCAGAGGTAGTTTTTCGAGTAGAACCTTGAATAGGAACAGGCTGTTTACCATGTGGAGAGATTTCTACAACATCATCCTCATCCTCATCTTCTTCGTTGACCATTTCATCAAAGTCAGGCATCAAGTTTAATTGATCCTTCAGTTGCTTTTTTTTTTGCCATATAATCAGCCACCTCATTACTAACCTCAGTTGGGGCATCTAGGACATTTAAGTACATTCCTATACCCTCCAACAAGATGTTGCTTAACTCGAAAAACACCCCCATTCATCTCTTTTCCACAAAAATTACACTTGAACTTGCTTAGATTTACAGGATTTACCATTGTTGCATACTTCCATGCCGGATCTTTTTTTCCACAAGATAAGAAGAGGAGAAGAGGAGAAGAATCAAACCAGAGGAGAAGAATTGAACCAGAAGAAAAAAAAAAGAAAAAGAAAAAAGGGTATAACAGAGGCAGGGAAGAGAAGAAGATAAGAAGAGGAGAAGAGGAGAAGAATCAAACCAGAGGAGAAGAATTGAACCAGAAGAAAAAAAAAAGAAAAAGAAAAAAGGGTATAACAGAGGCAGGGAAGAGAAGAAGATAAGAAGAGGAGAAGAGGAGAAGAATCAAACCAGAGGAGAAGAATTGAACCAGAAGAAAAAAAAAAGAAAAAGAAAAAAGGGTATAACAGAGGCAGGGAAGAGAAGAAGATAAGAAGAGGAGAAGAGGAGAAGAATCAAACCAGAGGAGAAGAATTGAACCAGAAGAAAAAAAAAAGAAAAAGAAAAAAGGGTATAACAGAGGCAGGGAAGAGAAGAAGCGAAGAAGAGGAGAAGAGGAGAAGAATCAAACCAGAGGAGAAGAATTGAACCAGAAGAAAAAAAAAAGAAAAAGAAAAAAGGGTATAACAGAGGCAGGGAAGAGAAGAAGATAAGAAGAGGAGAAGAGGAGAAGAATCAAACCAGAGGAGAAGAATTGAACCAGAAGAAAGAAAGAAAAAAAAAAAAAACAGGGTATAACAGAGGCAGAGAGGACCAGAGAAGAGAAGAAGAGGAGAAGAGAAGAATAGTCGAACCAGAAGAGAAGAGAACCAGAGAAGAGAGAAGAGGAGAAGAGAGAGAGGAGAAGAGAACCTGTGTATTTGGCGTGTCTTATACTCTTCTTCACGTCGCTTCTTCTTCTTCTTCTCCACTAGGGCTTTTTAAAATGTTTTTGCACTGTTGTTGACCCACGTTTGTATCGTTTGTATCATTTTATAATGTAAATGAGATGTAATCCCATGTGGGTATCCGCACAGTAAACAAATGGGGGCTGTTGGAGTGAAATACATTTGAAGCGCATGAAGCGCACGCCTCAAGCTTTATAATAAAGCGCGCGCTTCGTCGCCTCATCTGCGCCTTGCCCATGTCCCCTTGCCTCGCCATGCTTGAGGCGCAATGCTGCGCTTCATCTCGCCTTGGGCTTAGGCGCGCGCCTAAGCGCGCTTTTCAAAACACTGATTCAAATGCTATCTTCATAACATTTTAGAAAACACAGACGGGATATGTTGAACAGGGATGGGAATGAAAAACAAAAAGGAAAGAAAAAAATTGAAAGCTTATTAAGACAGTATATAATACCCAAATTGATAATATCTTGGCAATAGATGGGGCTCATGTAGTACAATACATCATGAGCAATAGCACTCAACATCACACGCAGACGTCGCACACCATCTAAAGTTAATTTTTCAACTGTCGATTCACCACTTAGCTTCAAGCCCCTCCTCCGCTAGACAACATACAAGTGATAGTGAGTAGCAATTTTGAAGCCATCTTTTGAGAAGAGAGAAAAGGTCAGACAAAATGAGTTGAGTAATGACAGCACTAAAAAAAGAAAAAGAAAAACCACAATATAAGTGCAAAACAAATTAGAAACAACAACATAGAAATAAAACAAAATTAATAACTCAATATAACAACCTACAAGAATATTGAAATTATTATCAAACCATATAGATTATAAAAAGGCTAAAGGATTTTTAAGCCTACCTGAGCTAAAAAAAAAATTTACAATCAAACATGTAATGACTTACAAATTCATGTGTACAAATCTTAATATATGGAAATGCTGTGAAATTTCAGGTAGGTTCACAAACAAAAGGTATGCCTAGCCTATTCTAAAACAAATTGTGTTTTACCCCTCTGAGATCCAACCTTGAGATTTTACCCAAGCTTATTTAAAATATTTTCTCAAAATTTTTGTTTTTCCTCAATTGATTCATAGAGTAAATCATCCATAGCGATAAATAGATCCCACATTGCATACCAATATTTAACTAGAAGAGAGTTGGAAATTGCATAAATGACCTTCAGGAAACCACATATAAAGCTAGCATTAAAATACAATGATAATAGAAAAATAATGTAAATTTATATCTATCTACTCTGGATTTTAAAAGATAGTATTACGTTACATTTTGTCATTATTTTATTTAAAATATTTATATACATGGCATATTATAATTATGTATGGCATATAATAAAAATATAATTTATATATTTGGCGTGTCCTCCACAACTCACGTCCTACATTTTATTGAAAATTTCGGTGTTAGCATGTCAAATCGTGTTTGTCTCCATGTACATGTTTCTTAGCTTTGTCCTAAGGACAAAATTTTAGTATTTATAAAACAGGATTTGTTTCCATTTAAATGGTTATATCAAATTGAAACTGCAAGACGAAAACTGGGGTGAAATAAAATTGATGAAACCTAACAGTAAACAAAACTGAGAGAAATTGATTCTAAACATAACTAAGGTCTTCTAACAAATGACCAAGTTGAAACCTAAAACAACCAAAATGCAATAATTCAGCCACCGACACAAAATCTCTACAACCAAGGGGACACAAGTACTTCTACTAAGTTGAAGTATTGTGTTTCATAGATGAAAACCAACATTGGCACACCTGAAGTTGATAGATTCCCTATCGGACACCAACACTCATTGGACACGCTGGGATATGTATTGGACAATCCATATGGCGTGACCCTTTTTTTAATTATTTTTTCATTGCTCAGACATGTTGGGAACACCTCGCAAGCTTGTGTCTTACTTTTGAAAGCACCCCAAAATATGATTATCTTGCCACGGGCTGTAAAAAAAGTGATCATAAATTTGTAATCACCATTATATAAACATGATGTGTATGTTAATCATCACTGTGAAGCCTAACAACTCTGGATGTAATGGTTTATGATTGATACAATGTTAAATAGAGTTCAAATTATAAAATGGTTCATGTTGAAGTAGTTTATGTTGGAGTAGTATTATTTTTTCATTATTTTAGTATTTTGTGGATATAAAAATTCATATACATAGCAAATTTTTGTTGTATCCCCGCTATGCATATCCTTAATCTATATGTGCTGCTCAGGCTTCAAACTTATGGGGGCTCTCTTCCCTTGTATCTACAAACTTAAGTTTGCTTTTTATGGTTGTGCTAATTAATGAGTGAATTTTTGGGATGGTAGTTTAGGGGAGTTGCTTCAGGGTTTGGAAACCATGCTAATATGTTTGCGCTTTTCTTTATATTATATATGCTATTTTTTTATTCTTATGACAGAATTTAGGCATGGTGAAATTTTGTGGATGCATTTCTATAATTTAAAGGCTTGCACAAAAAAATTTTTTTTTTTTGGGCATCGTTTTTTATGTGTCGAGGACATTTTCTTCTCTTGTTTTTTGGAGGGAGAGGGAGGATGAAGTAGGATTTTTTAAGAATTTTTTTTTTGCGTGTTTGTGGCCACAGATAATAGATTATTTTTCTTGTGATTCTTGGTCTTGTCGTTGATTAGCTAAATTGTGCAATGCTCAAGGTAAAATTTTCTGGATGGTATGTTGTGATTGTTGTCATAAGGAGACTGTAACTGATAAATTGACTTTTTTATCTTGAGAGCAAACGCCGTGATTAAAGTGCAAATATTGCTGGTTATCATTGACGTGAAGCGGATATAATTACGTTTTATTGTTGACAACCCCCAAAACTCCTTGACCTTAAACCATTTACTGAAAATGAAATTTGTTAAATGGTAGTCATATTTGCTTGATTGTGGGTTTGCTGTTGCAAGAGGCCCCAAAATTCAAAATTTCTCGGTATTTATATAATGAAATTTACATACTTTTCACAGCTGTAAGTTTGGCAGTGATGATTTGCTTTGTTGAAATTGTTTCCTTTTTATTTTTCCCTTTTTTGAGCCTAATATGGTACTGGTGGCCATTGTGGCATGAAAATAAATTCATTGTCCTACATTTTTGTTTCGTGTCTTACCCTATGTCAATAATTCTTTCCCAAAGTTTCATATGGGAGGAGTTGTAATCTTAATTCAAGAAAAAAATTGTACAATTTTGAATATCTCCTTTGTTCCTGTATTTAGGTATTGAAGTGTTGTTCCTCCACTCATTAGGTATTATTGAAAAGGTTTGTCAATCACCTTATACATACATCATACTTGAAGGATTTCCTTGATCCCCATGGCTTTTCCCCTTTTCCCAATGCATCCTTTACCTTGTCATCCTAATTATTCGAACAGACCTGTACTTTCTATCCCAATTGTATTCATCAATCTGCTCCAATTTCTTGTATGGATTAAATTAAAAAGTTTTACCAAAAGATTGGTTTAATCTTCTCTTCCTCTACTAACACTATTTGATCTTCATCTCTTAATGCATTTGATACGGTCTCCCATTTACATGTCCCTTTTGTTTGCAAATTTATAAGTATTCTTCTTTCCATCCTTTAGCCCCAACTGGTTATACAATTCAATATAAGCCTTAAATGGTTCCAAAGGTCTTGATCTTCAAATTAGTGTCTTGGGTCTCATAGGGGGAGCAGAATAAAGATGGATTACCATAAAAGTTTCTCACTTGGCTAAAAATTTGTAACTCGAAGAAAATGATTTCTTTAAGAAATCTTGCTTTTGTAAATTTCCCTGTGACTACATTACGGTGCCTTCGCATTAATTTTTTTATTATGTTATTATTTCTTGACGGAGCATATTTATAGATTAAGTACATTTTATTTAAGTAGATAAAAGCTCTTCAGGGTAAGAAACGGAAATTCTGTAGGATTGCATCCATTTTTGTAATCATTATGATGAAATTTTGTGAGCCAAAGTATTGTATAGTCCATGTTTGATGAGATGCATCCCATTTAGGAAGTAACTGTGTATGTTGGAAATGTTGGGATGGTTAAATTTTGGAATGTGATAAACTTTTGTTCTGCTGTTTTCAGTGAGTAATAATTTTTCTCATATTGAAGGAATGAGCATCTGCTATGTTCTACAACATTCTTTGTTATGATGGATAGCTTTTGTGCTTTCCATCTTTTATGGAAGTTGTTTTTCTTAAAAAGGGGTAAGTTCTGTCTAATCAAAAAAGTAAAATAAAATAAAATAAAAAAGGATTTTGAATCTGACCACATGCGTAGCTCCCTTGTAATACCTCGGGTATTACTTTTCCTCAAATATATGTCATTATTTTATAATTTTTGTATAGAGTAATTATTTTCAATTTAATTTGATAAGGGATTAATTTGTTAATTATTGTGTGTGAATTTTACGCCTCATTAATTCCCTAGTTTTGGATTAATTAGGAAAAACTGAGTTAATGAGTTACACTAAGCTTAATTTGGTGATTTAAACATGTTTTAGTTGTTGAACCTAGAGGGCCATGCAGCTTAGTAGGACGTTATACCTCATGCTTGCATTTTAATAGACGGGGACAAGTGTCCTTTTGACACAAAATCTGGTGTGCTGATTGTATTAGAGAGAGAGAGAGAGAGAGAGAGACTCTCTTTTGGGCCTTTTCATCCTACATTTGAAGAAGGAAGAGAAAAATCAAGCATATCCAAAAAAAATCTACAAATTCTCGAAGCTCATTCTAGGTAACTTTCATCTTACCTTCAAATGTAACTTTCGAGATAATTGGTTTTGTATCATCATGTAGAAATTGGCCTTAGAATTTAGAAATCTTGCATGTGTGTTTTGGAGTCATGATCTTGACCATTCATCACGTTAGAGGCCCACATTCATGTTTAGAATTGAACTCAAATTAATGATCAATGGAGTTTTAGAGTTGTTGGCTTTATACGTGTGTATCACTCTCATGTTGTTGTTTAATCTTGTTAGTGGAAGGAGGTTTAGTTGGTGTTTATAAAGGGTTTTGTGCTCAAATTTATAGATTTTGTGACTTCTTGTGATTAATTTAGGAGTTGGGGTTGCGTTGGAGTTGAAATTCCAGGTTTGAAAACCCCAAAATTCGCCTCTGTGAGCATACGTACCGCTCAAGCTGTCATCGAGTGGTGAAAAACAACTCATAAGATCTTAGAGTCTGACTAGATAGCTTGAGTTGCCATTGAGCAGTAAAAAAGCGGCAAAAACCACTTCGCTGGATTTCAATTCTGTAGCAGAAGCTGTGATGAATGTTTGATCAATTGAGCTGTCGTCGAGCGGTAAAAACTACTCATAAGATCTTTGAGCTGTCTGTGAGTGATGAAAACCACTTTACTGGATCTCAATTCTACAGTAGAAGCTGCGAACAACATTTGACTGCTTGAGCCGTCTTTTGGTCACTTGAGCAGGCTATAAAGCCGTCATCTAACCATCTTGACTTTTTGCCTTGTTTTGACCCATTTTGCTTACTTTAGGCTATTTTGACCTCTAGCATGATATGTAAGACCTTTAGTGAATCACAACCAAGTTAAGGGCACATTATTTAGGAATCCTAGGATCACCATTTGCATTTACTTAGTTTTGATTAGATAAATACTTCTATGATGTAGGATCCTTAAAAGAGAATTCGTAGACTTAATTTGGGGACTCAAGGTGAGTAGTCTTATACTTTGTGCAAACCATGGATTGAGTCCTTGAAATCCAAGTTTACTTGATGTATTGTCATTTCAAAACTATGAATTGGAACATATACTTGAACTTGTTTCATGAACTAGAAACCCATGGATATTTACTTGTATATTCGATTACATTGATAAAAATCTTGTTTGTCATCCTCGGATTATCCTGGCTATGAAGCACAGGTACAAGTATGAGTAGTGATACAGGTACGATATGGGTACATCAAGGAAGCACGGGTGCGGGTACGAGTACGGTACGGATACGAGTACGAGTAGGAGTACGGGTACGCCGATTTGGCAAAACTCAAAAAAAATATGATACAGGTATAGCTGCGGTACACCGATATTTTTTTTAAATATAATTATGGTTAAAGGATCCAACCAACAAATTAAAATTAAATATTAAAATTAAAAAGAGAACTACTCATTTTTCTATAATTTAAAACCATTAAGCGTTAAAAATAATATTTGTGAAATCTCTCACTTTGACATGTTATGCACTGTGAATTTGTGATCATAATTTATTTTTAAAATCTTTCTTTTTGCTCATCAATTTGTTATTTTTATAGGGTGAGACCAAAGAAATAACAGGAGACCAAAGAAAGATTTAAAGTTAATTGCCAACAGTAAAGGAAAAAAAATTCTCAATTGGGATAGGTTGTCAATTGCAATTTGCATAATACATAAAATTGCATCATTCCCAACCACTACTAATCAACTAATACAGTATCAATTTTTAATGTTTTGTGCATAAACTTTAAAAGTTTGTTATGATTAAAGATTTTATAAAGAAATTCTAGGAGGATCTGAAGCAAAAGTATAATGCGTAGTCATGTACAGAACTACCCTTTATAGGCCTTGTTATTTTTTTTTGTTCAATTGCTTTTTAAAAACATCAAAATCATTTGCGATATGCTTATACAATTCACACAGACAGACAGGACAGCAGAGAAACATCAAAATTACTGATCTACAAGGGCACAAAAAAAAAAATAGTAATAATTGTTGATCTGCAAGGACAAAAAAAAAAAAAAGGCCCTGGCGTACCCGAAACATACCAATGGCGTACCCACGCCGTACCCGAATGAACCAAACGTACCGGACCTTCTTTTTCCGTACCTGGTACGCGTACTGCCGTACCGGTATGCGTACCCCCGTACCGGTATGAGTACCCGCACCCGGTAAGTGCCTGGTACTCGTACGGCACTATTTTTGGAGTATCCGTGCTTCATCGAGGTACATCGATACGGTAAAATCCAAAACAAGTAGGGTACGCATACGGCTTGGTACGTTTGTAAAAGAATATTTATTTTTAATTTAGAGTAATGTAAAAATTGATTAAATGGTTTAATTTGTTAATATCCAACCTACAATTAACATTTAATGCTAAAAGTAAATGTATAAACTAATATTAAATGTCATTATTTTAAGTAGCCTACAAACCATAGCTTAATTTTAAAATCATGCTAAGCATAAAAATAAAAGAAGTCTAGTGTAAGGGATTTTATCTCTATAGTAGAAGAAAATATTGTTTCGACTGAGGTACAGTATGACTTGGGTATATACTAGGTATGTCTAAGTACGCCAAAAATTAAGAAGAAAAAATTTTGGTACTTGTTTCGTGTAGCCGCTACGTATGTAGAAGTACCATACGCCGGTAAGTATCCGGTATGGGTATAGCATGTTGTTCGAAGTACCCATGCTTCATAGGTTGGGGACTCTTGGCAGGCTTTTATGGCTTGTGGGATTCCTTTGGATCCCTCTTGTTTATCTCTAGACGTCTCTCGTATTTTCAATGTTTCATGGCCCTTGTGCCTTTGAGGCTCTTATTGCTACTTGATGGCTCTTGTTGGAAGACTGGGTGAACACAACTCCTTGTTCTGTTTGAATGTGCATAACAATGTAAAAATGTTGATTATGAATATTATTTCATTCTTGGTGTGGGCATGGGCTGATAAAGCTGTGCAAATAGGGTCCAAGTAGGCTTGAAATTATCTGGTCTAGTTCTAAAGGGCTGCTGGTGCTGGGCTCGTGGGGCCTACTGCTGGAGGTTGCTGAGATGGTACAATATGACAAATTTGGTATATTGGTCACCACATAACCAGTTGATGCTTCTGGAGATGAGTATCTGGACGTTGTTGAACCTTCTGATGGTGTCCTAGAATCCTGAAAGGCCTGCCAAACGCCTTTGGAAGGCTGTTGGGTTCCTACTGGAGAAACAACCTTGGGTTCTTTGGGACGCATCTTGCCTTGCCATAGTATAAGGGGAAACACTTGGGAGAGTGCTCAAGGGAGAGAGAGAATGCAAAGGTGGTCTCACACTCTTAAAAGGCTGATAGAAGCATTGGTTTTACTGTTTTGAATATTTTAAAATAGATATAAGTGAGACAAGTTTGAAGGACTAAACAAACGGTTTCTGGTAGAGTTTGAAAAAAAGCGAGTAGCTCATGGTTTATACCATATATGGCTGTGAAAGTGGAGCTTGGAGACAAGTTTGAAGTGGACTAAACACTACCCAAGGCCTGAAGCCTCAGAAATATAATATGCAAGAAGAGCTAACTCGTGAGAGAAGGTCAGTTAAAGCTTCTTCCAAACTCTTTAATTGTGGTTGAGGGTTGAGGGAGTTGAGATCAAAACCCAAAAGTTCTTGTTAATCTTGCGAAGAATTCAAATGAGAATTGTTTTGAAACTGTGTCTTGATAACCTTGTATATCCACGGTACTTATATCAAACTCTTGTGCCTTAGTATAATGCTATTCATTAGGCTTTTAGCTCACCCCATTGTTGGAGACCCTTCTACTTGGACATATTTTTGTTGTGTGGTGGAGCCAATTAGATTTGTCATGGGTTTCTTGTTTTTGTAAAGGCCATTATGAGTATTGGTCAGTGGAGGTTTAAGTTTTGTATATGTAAATATGGTGCCTTGAACTTTGTTTATGTAGACACTTGCTCCAATGGTTTATATAGATACTTGCTCCGATGGTGGGAATGTTTTGGACACGTGGAATTTTATCTTTAGTTATGGTAAAATAATGCATGCTTCTGCTAAGATTGATTAGTCATCACCCAACTTGGTGTTATCACGAGACCTTGGTAACCAGGATTATCAGCAGGTCACGTCTCCTGTTCTCAAGTTAGTGTTGGGGATGTGACATTCCCTTCTTTAACATATTAGGTTGAAAGAATGAGTAATGGTGTCCACTGTACCTCAAATCTCACTTTCTTTTAAAATTTACTTCTCGTGTAGAAATTGGAAAAGAAAATTGACAATTCTTGCTCAATTGGGTTCTCAACCGAGTGATATATTTTAGAATTAGGAGTGAAGTCTCATTTTGTGTTCTTGTGTTTCATTGCTGATGGCGGTGGTGTTTAATTTTATTTAATAGCAAGACCTGTTTTGTTCCCACCTGTTCCCCTCCCTTTTTTTTCTCCAAAATAACTGTATTCAGCTCTTTTCTTTCTTTGTACAAGTTCACCTCCAAATTTGTGCAGTTTATTTTAAACTACTCGTGGTTTTTAGACTTCTATAAATGATTTATGCTGTTTGATAAAACCAGAAAAAAGTGTAGGAGTTGGAGCTGCCCATTTTTTCGATTTATTCCTCCTAGGATTATTCAAGGTTGCCAATACATGTTGTTTTGCTTGTTGCTTTGACAAGATATGTTTTGAAAGGCAAAAAAGTTGGTTTGCGAAAATTAAATTTTCATTGTTAAATTTTTGTTCAATGAGAAATTGACATTGCTGAGAATGTGCATTATTATTGTAGAGGGATAGACTTTAATAATGGCATTTGAACAGGAGGTCCTTGCCAAATGATTATATTTAATGTTTTGTTATGCTCAAAATAAATTTTCAGATGTTATACACATGTAACCTTGATTAGATCATCTTAAAGTTTATGCCAATGAGCTCTTGCTCAAAGTGGCAATTCTTCCTCCCACCAGAAACAAACCTTGACACTTCTCATCCCACTTGAATTTGGTATGGAAGGTTCAATTGTGGGTTAAAGTCTTATTGGGTGCATGTGTCACCTTTTAATTAAAAGTGCTATCTGAATTTGATGCCAAGCTGAAAATAATATATTTTTTTAAATGATAGGATGATTAAAAGGAAGATATTTTATGATGCTAAACTTCATTTCTTATTTCTTATTTTTTTTTTCCGTTGTTCTCTGCAGTTGAGTAATGGATTTGAAGATGATTTGTTGCAAGGCACAATGGAAAGATGTGGAGCTTAGCTGATTGTATTATGAATTAAAAGACGCGCTTGTTAGTTGTAATTTTAAAAATTACTTGAGAAACTTGTTGAAACTTGATCTTGTGCTGGTAAACTATTGCTGAGATGACTTACCTATGCATATTTACTTTGCAGTCTTGAGATTTATGCTGTGTTTGGTTGGAGGATTTGGAGAAGGATTTGGAAAGAGAAATAGAAAAGGTAGGTGAAATGTGAATAAAATATATCTATATTTCACCTAGTTTCACACACCTTTTCCCTTTCCCTTTCCAAATCCCTCCTCAAATCCCCCAACCAAACACAACATTAAGATCCTTGTGTTTCTGATTTTGTGAATTTGTTTGTATCATAATATTATATTCTTACTTCTTGTGTTGTGTAGATATTTGTTATATTTTTTTAATTAACCTCCCCGAGTCCGTTGGAGATCCACTGAATTCTGATGACCAACTATATACTATTTAATATCGCTTCACTTGTATGGAAGAATCATACCAATTCTTGAGAGATGACTCTATGCCACCTTTGATTTTTCGAATCTTTTATATTTTCTTTATTTCATTAACCACTAGACACCATTTTGAGCCTTTATTTAACATTTCTTGATTGAACACAATACCCGATGTATATTGAGGTTTGTTGGGATTCATTTTTTAAAAGAAAAAGGATGAATAAGTTAAAAAAAAAGAAAAAAGAAGAGAAATCATTTTAAAAAATATGGTGAAGTTATGAAAGAAAAGAAGTGAATTAAATGCATGGCCCTATTATATTTATTCTTATTCCAGTTATCTTAGATATTCAATTTTATTACCACCTTTACCTTTTTTTTAATCCTTCCTTCACCCCTACATTACAACCGAATAACGCTGTGTTTGGTTGGAAGATTTGGGGAGGGATTTGGAAAGGGAAAGGGAAAAGGTGTGTGAAACTAGGTGAAATATAGGTATGTTTTATTCACATTTCACTTATCATTTCCATTTCCCTTTCCAAATCCCTCCTCAAATCTCCTAACCAAACACAGCATAAAAGTTCTATTTGATCTTTAGAGTGATATGCTTTGTATGTGGACATGATTGACAAGTTCATAATGTGATAATTTTAAATTTTTAATATTTGACATTCCTTTCATAAGACTATTTATTCTTTTTTATTAATGTTTTTCAAAAATGTAGTATGCGAGATATTTTAATTTTGACTTACATTATTCCACTTGCATATATATTGAGAGTAATTTTGTATCTTATTTGGGAGTGATTTGTTTGTTGAGTACAATATTCAATAAAATTTGAGTTAAAGCATACTTCTTGAAGAATTTGAGTTAGATTTTACTTTGAGATTGAAATTGTGTTTGTGTCAGTTAAACTTATTGACATGTTCCAAATTTTGAATATTATGAGATATCTTTACTTGTTGTTAGTACTCTTAACCTTTTTTTGTTCCTTTTTTTTTTGTTGTTGTTGTTAAGGTGATGAGATTCGTGATTTTGCTCTTGAAGTGGCTTCTTGTGAATGAAAGAAATGCTTTGAGTATAACAAAAGAAAATTTTGAATATTATGATATATCTTTACTTGTTGCTAGCGTTTAAAACTTTAATTGATTTTTGGGTAAATTATAATTTAACCCCTGTAGTTTGCCCAAAAAACATGGAGCCCCCCTATAGTTTCATTTGTGACACTTAAACCCCATACTTTATATCAAAGTGCAATTTCTGATGGAACTGTTTGTTTAAACAGAGCGTGTATTACACGACTATGAATGGTGAGTAGAGCAATTTTTTCCGCCTAAAAATATATGGCAAATGACCAAAATATCCTATACATATATACAAATCTTAAACAAAGAACAAAAAAAATATGAATCCACAAGATGGGGTACTTATTCTCTCTCTCTCTCTCTCCATTGAGTTACTGTTCACTCGTTCTCTGTTGTCGCAATCCCTAGCATTTTCTTCGTATTTGATTCCAAAAATGTGTTGAAAAAAAGTTCAAATCGAACTGTTTCCAACCATTCTCGACATTTTTGAGAACTTGTTCAAACCCTAAATTCAAGCCAGAGCTCGATGAGTAGTAGTGACAGTTGCGTTAGTTTCAGCCGATTGTCCTTTGAAAATCTAGAACTGAGATCGAAGTCGCCGGAGACTCTGTCGCTAGAGCCACACTGATCGTCGAACTCCTCGTGGCAAGCCATACGATCGTTGACGTTTAGGCGGAAAGTGGGGCTTGGTTTCAGGGACTTTGGCCTCGTATGCCAAATCGGGAGCGGCGACATCGGGAGGGTCTTCCTTTGCTACCTCCGCAGGGGCGGTGGCAACTTCTACACCCTGAAAGTGATGGACAAAGAGGTTTTGGCTGTGAAGAAGAAGATTCAGAGGGCGGAGATAGAGAAGAAGATTCTAAAGATGCTGGACCACCCATTCTTGCCAACGCTCTACATCAAATTCTCTCTCTCTCACTCCTTCCTGTTTCTTTTCTTTTTTTTTCTTTTTTAATTTTTTTTAATTTTTATGAATCTCAATAGGAAAATATATATGTGTGTGTGTGTGTGAGAGGGAACTGACCTCGGTTGCTCTTCACATTTTTTTTTTTTTTGATAAGATATATAAGGAGTCAACAGGTACTGCTCCTGTAAACGATGCAGGCTATGGAGATCCAGTGCAGAAGGCAGAATCAATGACATTTCGTCGAGCTTGTGCTCGTTTTGGTCCGGGACTTTATCTCTATCACGAGGATGTGTTATAGCCAAGCAACATGGCCTTTGTGTTAGGCAATTTTTAGTTTAGCGAATGACACTCAGATCACATTGTGTTTTAGTTGATTTTGTTTTGATCTCAAGAGAGAATCGCAGTAAACCAGATATTTTGATGTAAAACAAAAATTAGATTATCTATTGCTGTCTGCAATTGTGATTTCAAAGCGTCAATTTCTGTATTTTTATTTTTTCTGTGGACATGTTCTTATAAAATATCTAGGGGCATTTATGACTTTTTAAAATTTCTGTTATGTCAGTCAGAAATTACACTATGGTATGAAATATAGGGGTTTAAGTGTTACAAATGAAACTATAGGGGGGCTCCGTGTTTTTTAGGCAAACTACAAGGGGTTAAATTATAATCAACAATGCTAGAGACCTCTAAAAAGGCATCTCTAAACCCACCTCTAATGAGGTGGAAAAGCAAAAAAAAAAAAACAAAAAAAAATCAAGACACATGATTGGCTGTGGCAGTGGGGGACCCACTGCCACATCACTAGTGATACCTCTAAATTAGAGGTCTAAAGCATTTTTGAATTATAATTTACCCTTGATTTTTTTTGTTAAGATGATAGGATGTATGACTTTGCACTTGACATGTCTTCATGAGAATGAATTAAAGTATTATTGACGATAACTTTTATATTGTGTGATTATATTTATTGCAAACTCTCACAAGATTATATTTTTAAATTGGTACATTAGTTAGTACACTAATTGGTGCGTATAGCACTATTCTTAAAGATTTGGTAGTGCTACATATCAATTAATATTCTAATTAATATACCAATATGTATTATGACATTATTATTGATCTCACTCATTATTTTTTTTCATGACTCTTAGTATTATTCAATTATATTATAGGGTTTTTTTTTTTTAGGGTCCCTGATATTAAGATTTTATAGCATAAAGGACATCTAATATTTTCATAATGTCTAAAGTCCGTCAATTTGATCCAGAGTATTTCTCTAGATTTCCCAGAGAGATTCTATCCAGAGAAATTCTCTGTTTCTCTCCAGAGAAATTTCCAGATTATGTAAAGAACTAACAGCTATGGTTTTTAACTCAAAAAAAAAAAAAAAAAAAAAAAAAAAAAAAAAAAAAAATTGCTAATATTTTCTCATTGTAACCAAAAAAAAAAAAATATATGAAGTGTGTAAAGTCCGTCAATTTGATCCAGAGAAATTTCACCCAGAGTATTTCTCTAGATTTCCCAAAGAGATTCTATCCAGAAATTTTGAACCAGAGAAATTATCTGTTTCTCTCCAGAGAAATTTCCAGATTATGTAAAGAATTAACAGCTATGGTTTTTAACTCAAAAAAAGAAAAAAAAAAGAAAAAGAAAAAGAAAAAGAGGGGCAAAACAACAACACCACTACTAGCACTGATGCAAAGAGAAATGTGTACACCAGACAGATCATGCACAAAATTATTGCACTGAGTACAACCAAGAAACAAAATTTCTCTAGACTTTCAAATTTCTCTAACCCACTCTCCGGAGAATTTCTCTAGCCTTCCCTCCTCTCCAGAGAAAATTGAAATTTTTCTGAACAAAATTGTTTGCTTCTGTAGAATCCTTTCTTTGTGAAACCAGAGAAAATGCAAATCTTTTACCAAAGAAAATTCAAAATCTTGTACCAGAGAAAATTGAAATCAAAAAAAATTCCAGATCCTTTACCAATCAAATCCTTTATCAGTTGAATAGAAGAGAAAGAATGAGAAGTGTAATATATATACTAATAGTACACAACCAAAGTAAAGTGCTCACCAAAGAAAATTCTGGACCAGAGACTGAAACCCAAAGAAAATAGGTCTTCTATTGATTTGAAAAGTTATTACAAATAAATTGCTCAAATTCATACATTTCACACTACCAATGCCCTAAATCAGCACCCTTCTACCTCTCCAAACCCTCTCAAATCAGAAAATCTGACCTCGATAATCAACGCAGGACTAGATCTGAAAATTTTAGAGAATTTAAGCAGTTTTGATGTGAAAACTTCCATGGATGCAATGATTATAAGCGAGGAAAAAAGTGTGATGACTTTGAAGGTGGAGGACGAAAAGATGAAGGATGAGATTGGGAGCGATGATTGGGAGATTATAGAGCTTGATGTGGTGAAGCTTCTCGCAGAGCACATTCATTCCTACGATATTTGCAGGAAAGGATTCAAGCGCGTTGCGAGTCTGTGGATGCACATGCGAGCCCACGGGAATCGGTTCAAGACGCGGGAGGCTGTGGCGAAACCGGAGAGGTGTTCGTCGGAGTTTAGTCGGAGGAAGACTCGATTTTTTTGTCCTTTCGTAGGGTGTAATCGAAACAAATCGCATAAAAAGTTCAGGCTATTGAAATCAGTGATTTGCGTGAAAAATCACTTCAAGAGAAGTCATTGTCCGAAGATGTACTCTTGCAATTGCTGCAACAAGAAGAGTTTCTCAGTGTTGGTTGATTTGAAAAGCCACTTGAAGAATTGTGGGGAGTCTAAGTGGAAGTGCTCTTGCGGAAATGAGGTTTGATAGAATGAAGATTGGAAACAAAGGGAGAGTCAAATTTCTTTGATATGATATATGGGTGTGGGTTGAGGGACCTTAGATATCAAAAAATAACATTGTGGATATTTTTCATTACTAAAAATGGAAAAAACACCTTAGATTAATTTTCTCTAATATATCATCTATTAATATCAATTGATTCATATAACATTATTCTTAAAAATTTGTTGCCTATGATAAATATAACCGAGAGACCGGTGAAAATGGATTTTATTTATTTATTTATTTTTTCCTGATGACTAGCAGGGTTGAGGTTTGGGAGAATTTAATGTATTATAATGCATGTTTTATATCCTTAATTTATTGTTCATTAGATCTATTTTATATATCATTTTAAATTATTATGTTCATTTTTATGTTTTTAAGTAGTATGAAAGTTTAATGGTGATACAAGTTGTATATTTGCGGAAGATCTTTGCGTTCTTGGCTATGAGAATTCATACAACTCTCATAGGGATGACAATTTGAACCCGGTCTGATAGGGACTTGACCCCTCATCCCTGAATTTAACGATTTTTTCCTGAAAAATACTCCCGACGGGTCGGGAATGGTATTTAAAAATAAATCCTCGGTATATGTAACTTTATTATTTGTGTTACTCAAGCAAAAATAGTTTGATCTAATAGCCAAGAAGAAACATTTAATAAATATAAATGTTTTGAATATGCTAGCCCCCGATTTATGTGGTGTTTTGAGAAGTTGGTAAAAAGTTGACTTTTTGATTTTTTGACTTTTTTGGCAAAAAATTGGATTGTTTTGGATAAAAAAATTGACTTTTTTGATTAAAAAAAAGCTAAAAAGCAAAAAAATAACTTTTTACCAATCTTCCCAAAGTGCCCCTGTATATATATGTTTAGGGTTTAGTTGACTCACATGGTCACACACAAAAATAGGCAGCCGCTCTTCTCTCTCTCTCTTTATCGCCTATGTCTCTCTATTTCCTCCTTCAAACCCTGTACTTCTCTCTTTTCTCTCTCTCTCTGGACTCCTTGCTGTTCCTCTTCTTCTTCTTGAACCCCACTTTCCTCTTTATCTGTTACCTTTTTTTACTGGGTCTGTTTCGCAAAAGATCAATCTTAATTGGGTTTGAATTGATTTATTAGATTGGATCTGCTGATTCGTTTTCGGATTAGTTTCTTCTACACAAAGGTAGTTCGATCTTAATTTTTTTTTTTGTTTCGTTGTTTTGATTTCATTTTCACCTTAATGGGTTTTTGCTAATTGTGTTTTTATGTTTCTCAAATCAATGAAAAGTGCGTTTTCCCATGTGGGTTCTTGGTTTCGAGGCATGGATTTGTGGAGTTTTGTTCTTTTTCATGGAATAATTTTAGTTCTTGGAAGAAGGAAACCATCTGTAATATTATGTTTGGAATGTTAGAATGCCAATGCTTGTTGTTGATGAAGATAATGAAGATGTTTTTTTGATTTGTTGTCGTTGATGAATTGTTGTATTTTTCTGAAGTTGATTTTTTTTTTTGGCCGGGGTGCGGGGTCGGGGAAACCCGATCCCCGTTAAGGGGCGGGGGCGGGGGTGGGGGGGGGGGGGGGGGGAGCCTCTCAAAGGGTAAAAGTGTAACAAGTCCATGCCAAATGGTTTTATTGTTTTGTAGCCATTCGTATCCAGGACGTCCCGTTGCCATTCCTACATGGCGGCGATCCCTGCGTTCCTGTGCACCGCCCAGCCTCTCGACCTCAACTTGCGCTCCAGTCACCACTACCGTCGGGCTTGGGTTCAGAATCTGTCGTCAAATCCACCATCGTCACCGGCGACGAAGCGGTTATCTCTACCTCAAAGCTCTTCATGAAAGAGTCCAAATCTGGACTCGTTGTGTGCAGATTTGAGTCTCTTCACCTCCGGTGAGTCAGATTTGTTTGTGTTTGAGAGAGAGAGAGAGACAGAGAGAAGAGAGGACTTCAGAAGATTCAGAGGGCTTGTGGGAATGGGGTTTCTAGAAATCGATTCCACCAAATCAATTCACCGCTTCCTTCACGGACTCGAAAGACGCTGACATGTCAATTTCAGCACTCGAACTCTTTATCGTCGCAGCGAGACATACCTTGAGAATTTCAGAGAGAAAAAGCAATGGAATAAAGTAACAAAGTTGAGATTGAGAAGATGAGAGATACAACAACTACTATTCTTCAATTGAGAAGATCAATGGCTTTGTTGCTCATTCTCCATCTATAACCTATATAAAAAGCATGTAACAATGGTATAACGCTGCTGCTTGCAGTGGTGTAACACTGTTGCTTGCTTCCTTTCTAACGCTTTGCAACAGACAAATTAAACTGCTTGACCTCTGTTTGCTGGCTCAATGGTTTCTCCAAGAATTCTGAATGTGCTACAAATAAAAGCAGTGGAGACTCTAGCTTCAACATGTGGCTGTTGCCTCTTGTCTGCCTTCTACCTTGTCTGAAAGAAATTGCACAGATATGTTTATGTATTCCACGTGATTGTAAGAGAAGAGGTAAAATTGATCTCTAAGATGTGGCTATGGTTTTGCCCCAAAATTTGTAGATATAATATAGATTCCAGATTGTGGGAATTGGTTGGTCCTCCAGATTGGACAAGCGGTGTGTCCATGTGTTTTGTATCGGATGCTCAGATGTAGAAAATTATATATGTACAGCTCTTCATTCTACAGTTAGGTGTCATCTGCAGCAAACCAAAAAATTTTCTCAACTTTCTGTATTGTATGTTTTCCAGAGATGACGTGCCTCATGTTGCTTTTTCTATGTGGGTGAGGAGGAGTGTTTCGGTGGGTTACCGAATGGACAACCAACCTAGATGATCCAAGTCTTGCTTCCGGCTGATGGATATTTTTGGGGTCTCTCCAAGAACCTTCTTTGTTTGGTGCACCGCTTGTAGAGACAAATAATTGGAAGCTTGCACTTCTTACAGAATAATACCCAGATGTCTGCATTTTGAGTTTGCATTTGCATCTCATTCAGGTCGCACAAATCTGTTTTTTTTCACAAAAGTCACCTTAATTGAGGCCTATCTACAGAAAACCAGAGAAGAGAAATAAACGAAGGTTTATTCTCAATTATGTTCACCTGAGGTTTGGCTTTCATGGTCCCCTCTTCTGTTTTCTTTGTAGTGTTTGCTTTGTGATTTATCTATTGATTATAGGTTTGTAGCCATTGAATACGCCTACGAGGTGTTTGTGAATATGTTTATAAGAGAAACTGCATGCTTACTTCTCTATGAAAGTGAATCAACAAAAATTCAGAATTTACAAATGAAAGATAAAAGATTCTCAAATAAAGATTAGTAATAAAGAAACATATCCCAATACAATACCAAGATAAAAACCATCAATTCCTACTGAATTCACAAGAGCAAGATGCTTTCGACGTGAACAAACCTTACCTTTCAGTCACCAAATCAATATATATATATCTGAAAGAAATTGCACAGATATGTTTATGTATTCCACGTGATTGTAAGAGAAGAGGTAAAATTGATCTCTAAGATGTGGCTATGGTTTTGCCCCAAAATTTGTAGATATAATATAGATTCCAGATTGTGGGAATTGGTTGGTCCTCCAGATTGGACAAGCGGTGTGTCCATGTGTTTTGTATCGGATGCTCAGATGTAGAAAATTATATATATACAGCTCTTCATTCTACAGTTAGGTGTCATCTGCAGCAAACCAAAAATTTTTCTCAACTTTCTGTATTGTATGTTTTCTGGAGATGACGTGCCTCACGTTGTTTCTTCCATGTGGGTGAGGAGGAGTGTTTCGGTGGGTTACCGAATGGACAACCAACCCAGATGATCCAAGTCTTGCTTCCGGCTGATGGATATTTTTGGGGTCTCTCCAAGAACCTTCTTTGTTTGGTGTACCGCTTGTAGAGACAAATAATTGGAAGCTTGCACTTCTTATAGAATAATACCCAGATGTCTGCATTTTGAGTTTGCATTTGCATCTCATTCAGGTCGCACAAATCTGTTTTTTTTCACAAAAGTTACCTTAATTGAGGCCTATCTACAGAAAACCAGAGAAGAGAAATAAACGAAGGTTTATTCTCAATTATGTTCACCTGAGGTTTGGCTTTCATGGTCCCCTCTTCTGTTTTCTTTGTAGTGTTTGCTTTGTGATTTATCTATTGATTATAGGTTTGTAGCCATTGAATACGCCTACGAGGTGTTTGTGAATATGTTTATAAGAGAAACTGCATGCTTACTTCTCTATGAAAGTGAATCAACAAAAATTCAGAATTTACAAATGAAAGATAAAAGATTCTCAAATAAAGATTAGTAATAAAGAAACATATCCCAATACAATACCAAGATGAAAACCATCAATTCCTACTGAATTCACAAGAGCAAGATGCTTTCGACGTGAACAAACCTTACCTTTCAGTCACCAAATCAATATATATATATATATATATGATTGGTCATATAAGATAGAGAGAAGGAAATGAATCTTTTGACCACTTTTATTTGGCTTTTTTGGTTGATATTTTTTTCTTTGTTTAGCTAAAATCTAATCTTCTGAAACTACCTCTTTTAGCATAATCTATTCTATTGATTTTGGAGATCTCTCTCCCTCCATTTGTACACCTCTTTCCCACTCTTTCTCTCTCCATACACACATATATACAAACAAACACATGGGTGTGTGTGTGGGACTTGATTCTTCTTGGTTTATGAATGTTTGTAGTTGGTTCTTCAATAAACGTGGTTTAAATTTTGGGTTTATAACAATTTTGAGTAGAACATTTGGAAAATTTAATTGAAGGTTTGTGGGTTTAGTTGCAAATTTCTATGTTGGTAGTTTTAAGGTGAATTGAACTGACATAAACAAGGGAATCAAATTTGATTGCTCTGTTTTTGGGTTGGCTAATAATGGAAGTACAACTCATGCCAGTGTAATGTGTCGTAGGCATTTTTTCATGATGGTGCTGAGGATCATCGCTTGCTTCTTTATGATTTCAAACTTGTGCTCTTTGAATTGTCCATTTGGGAATCATAAGTTTCTGTAAGGGTGTTCTCATAGTGGGATAATTCATACTTTCTTGATTTTGTTTGTTTGTTGTTTTATTTCAATTGAAATACTAGAAGGAAAACGCTTTTAGAGATAAGTTTTTTTTTTTTTTGGCTGAAAATGATACATATTCACTTTGCTGATATAGAATATGCAATACATCCATGATGTACTTGGCATTCTCTAGATGTTAGCTTTTATTGGATCAGTAGTCTAAGCAGTGAACATCCTCTATGCCTCACAATTTTTTATCCACTTGCGTTTTTTGAACTTCCACACGGCGATTTGACTTAGAAATGTAGTTTCTTTTTGCTTGATTAGCTAATATAGTTCTCATGTAAAGAATGGAAATGATATAAATTGGAAAATTAATATGCACTTTATTTTTCTTTTGATGGGCTTTACTCATTTTTTATTTGAATTCATTAAATATTGAGCTTAAAGTCCTTACTATGACCATTTCCACGTGTGGATTTCAAGATGAAGCTGTTAACAGTTGGTGGAAAAAGACTGAAACTTATGATTTGGGACATAGGTGATTAACATCAATGACTTGTTATTTGGAACTATTTTGTTTATTCAATGTGGAAAATTTCTCGGATCCCAATAGTATTTCCCCCTTATACATGTAACAAATTTTTTAGTTTTTTCTTAGATGTTTTTGTTATAAATCTCTGACTCAAGGCAGGAATGTTTCTTTTTTGGTACTGGTTTTCATTTTCATTGTAACTTGGCTTGTTAGGCCTTTTAAAAATCAAACAGTGTCAAAAGAGTTGATATTTCCAAAAATACCATCAACCAAGTTCAGGAAACACCAAGACGTACATATACAGACAACAAGAACTGCTTACATAGTCCACTAAGAAATGGGTTTTTGTGAATGTGTGTATGAGAGAGGGAGAGAGAGAGAGAGCGCTTTTGAGAAATTTAAATTATGAGTATCAAGTCAAGTATTTAGATGAAGTAACAGCATTCTGATAGCACAAGAGGAGGAATTTTTATACTGCTGAATTATTTCCTTGCCAAATAGCTAGACAGATTCCTTAGCTTCATTATTGGTGCTCTAGGAAAGAAAATTTCCTTTTAGAAGCTTCACATGTTTTTGATTTTTGGTTTTGGAAGCTTCAATGACCTGGGGTTTTTGGATTTTCATTTTCTTTATTTATTTGTTTTATATTTTTAAGTAATATATCATACATTTCTATTGCTTGGATTTGGATTTCAAACTTAGAAAATTTGATAGGTCTGCAAAGCTTCTTTGTCTTTCCTGTTGGGATTTACAATTTTGAACTATTGATGTATTCCAAATATGGTTACCCTTGTTATTATCTTGTTCATTTACCGATATTAGAAATATAGTTATTTTTGAAAAACAAAAAATGATTAAGATTGGTTAGCTCGAGCTTATATTTAAATATAACATTTGCATTATAGTTCTTTTTATTCCTACCATCAAATAAAAATTAGGTAGTTTAATTGTGATTTTTGTTAAGATTTCAACTCAATGGTGCTCCCTTTGAGCCAAAATTCTGGCATCGCCACTGGACTTGGTAGTCAAATCCTTTTTGTGTTCTCTTTAGCTGTTGATAAAATGTTAATAGTCTTCTTGGAAGTGCAACTCTTCACGAGCCATTTGAAGTCGACACATCTAATCCTCCCGCGGATTATAGGTAATCAAAGATGATCACAAAATAGGATTCACTACTCAATACATCTGATAATCTTCAATCAGTGAACTCAATTGAAGATTCACAACCAGAAAATTTCGATCAGGTGTTTGTCTCTCACTATATAAATTTGAGTATAAATTGTGCAAATGAATTCAAATGTCTAATTAATTTTTGATCGTATTGCATAATATAAACTAACTTGGACTATACCTTTGATCATTTGAATATATGTTGATTATGCTTCAACCTAAGACATCCTAGGTAGGACTAAGGAACACAATTTGTTTAATTTGCACTTGAATAATTAATGACTTTTGAAATTACTTGACAACTTTAGATGCATAGATAAATAAATAAAGTAGATTAAGCAAGAAAAAAAATTAAATTAAAAGAAAAAGAAAAGAAGTGCCAATTGAGTCGCAAGAAAAGGGCAAAATAAAAAAGTGCCAATGGAATATATTTTATGGTTTTGCTTTAAATAAAAAAAGAAAAAGATTCAAATAAACAAATTTGGGATAGGTTGACAAGTTTAAGCAATATTTTATGGTTAGTCATTCCATCCCAATTATCTAATATTTGAAGTTTGCAATATTTGTAGATTCAAATTGAAGCTTTCAAGTAAATGGAATTAATGTATTATTAACGTAGTTTACTTGTGCATACATCTTCTTTCATTTCTTTTGATCATGATGCAGCATGAAGGTCATTTTCTTCTCTTGCGATGTCTTCCCCACATATGTTAACTGTTCTTGTTTCTTCTGAAAATGGCAAGATATTGATTTGATTGAATCATTCTTCTCCTTTTATTCGTAGCCTCCCCTTTTGTGTAAGAAGATTTTTTACTTTTGCCTTGTCTGTAATCAGTTTTGAAAATTTGAAGTTCATTTAACTATTGAAATGTAGTAACTTGTGTGGAGTCGCATCTTTTTCATTCTTGACATTTCTACGTAGTCTTACAATAATTGGCTCTCTCATTGTGAGATCAAACAAAATGCTGTTGAATAGTCACATGACTCACATTGTTATTGGGTGAACAAGTAGTAGTGGGAGGTTTGTGATGTATAGTTGACAATGTTTTCTGGTGGCCTTTGGTTTCATGAGTTTGAATTACTTCCTAAGTTTGTTATAGTTTTTAAATTTTAGGGTGTGGAAGGGTTTAATTTCAATTTTTTTCCCTTTCTACATTACATTGTTTCTCTGATAACATTGTATTACAATGTGACCATTTATTTTTTAACCCATTCCTAACTAATTAACTTGGTTTATTTAGGAAGCTCACAGGTTTATCTGCCCTCTTCAAATTGCCACCTTGAAGCGTGTCATTGAGTCAACATTGAAGTTTCTTTTATGTTCGAACAGGCCATTTTCTATTTGGGATCGATTGGGTTGCTTGGAGAGTATTGTCCTATGTCAAGTAAAAACTCACCATTGCCAGAAAGAATTGACTGTATGCATCACGGGTCATTTCAGGAATACCCACAATTTTGTGGTTGCAGCTGGGTGCAGCATTCCTTGACTACAGAGGAGGATCTCTCTTTTCATGCCGAAAAATCATTAGAAGACTTCTACATGCTGAAATACTGCATATCCTAAAACAGAGGTCTTGATTATAAAAAGTCAGATGGCTCAACTGAGATGTGCAACGGGTGGTTTTGTTTCGGATGTGGATGTGAGGGACAAACTCACAGCCTTCATTTTGAAGAACCCACCCGAACCAAAGAAATGTTCCAAAGACAAGAAGGCAATGCGGAGGGCTGAAAAGGAGTGACTGAAGGAAGGTGAGGCTGCTGATGAAGATCAGAAGAAGCTGAAGAAGGAAGTGAAGAAGAAGGGGTCTTCCAATTTCAAGGATGGGCCTGCAAAAGTCAACTACAACAAAAAGAAAGCCAGTGGTTCTGATGAGGATCAAAGTTCACCAATTATAAGTCAGGTTGATGAGAAAGAAGAGACGGACAATGATAATGACGACAATGTGCAGTGGCAGACCAACACGTCACTGGAGGCAGCCCGCCAACGCATCGAAAAGCAATTGAGATAACCATTCCCATCTTTTTCTGGTAGTGATAAATGACAGCAGGTATATAGTGCTTGATCCTGAGACACTTCAACTGAGACCGGGATTGAAAAATCAAGTACACGGTCGAGGGTGAAGAGGAAAGTTTAGCGAACAAGCTTCACTTGCTATAGAAATGTTGATCAATGGATGGATCAATACTGATTCTGTGAACTTGTTTTTGCTAGTGGTGCATTCAATTTTTATGTGTGGATCATCCATGTTCAATGCAAGTGCTGGAATACTTTTGAAGTATATCTCATCTGTGGTCAAGAGCACATGGAAGGCTTTAATTCTTAAACAACACAGTGGTAATTCTTTACCAAATTTTGGTTCCATATGATCTTTTATTTAGAACTAAAAGACGAAAGAGAAAGATGAGAAAATTCTACATTCTCTAATATGTGAAATATGATATTCTTTTCATCACCTTAATGTTTACAAATTTGATTCTAAGTCTTTGTTACTTGAACCCCTATTTTTAAGTGTGGCATACATATGTTTGTCTTTTTCTTTTTTAAAGACAGCAAGGAACTCATTCTCTAATATGTGAAATAAGATATTCTTTTCATCACCTTAATGTTTACAAATTTGATTCGAAGTCTTTGTTATTTGAACCCCTGTTTTTAAGTGTGGCATACGTATGCTTGTCTTTTTCTTTTTTAAAGACAGCAAGGAACTGGCTTGTTTTTTGGTTCACAATTTTGTTAAATGTAGGATCTAGTTATGATTAGTGAATAGAAAAGAATAAATATTGTGTATTTTGTGTTGCAGATTTTTTTGAAAAAAATTGCAATTTTGCCATCTCGTATTATTTCTCACAACAATAATGTGACACGTGGAGGTTCAATTAGTATATGTTAAAAGATTATATGTGTGAGTATTTGATTGGTTTCTTGAAAATGTTAAGTTATCCATCCAAAAAGAAAAAAGAAAAAAGAAAATTAGAGAAGAGAATGGGTTGAGACATGAACTCAAGACCATAACTTTGATAGGAAAGATTCTTATTATTTGAGATTATAATCAATATATATTAAATATTATATTTTATTTTATTTTTATTTATTTAACTTGCACATGAAGCTAGTATATGTTAAAAGACAACATCTAATAGTGTAGATGCACATATAGTGGATCTAGGGAGCAAATGATTCCAACAGATAGTGGATCCCCAAAAAACTGAACATATATTTTCAACAGATGAAAAAAAATTCAAATAGAAAAAAAAAATTCAAGCATAAAATTTGTACAAATAAAAATTTGAACAGAAAATTTGTACCAATAAAAAAACTTGAACAGATAAGTTAAAAAAATTTAATAGATAGATACAAATTGACAGATAGGATTAAAAAAATTCAATAGATAGGATTAAAAAAATTCAACAAATAGATTAAGGAGGAAAATTAGAAACAAAATGTTCTCCAAATAATAAACTCTTCTTTTCATCTCAATATTTTTAAAAAAGTGTATTTCTCACAAAGAAAAAATACTTATAGAACTTAATGCCTATACCTTTGTTAGATTAGATTTTTCAATAATTTTATTTATTTTAATCATATTCAGTGGGTGTTTGGGAAGTGGGTTTTTTTAATTGTAGGATATTATTGGAGGAATTTTTTTTGTGTTTGGGAAGATAGTTGGATTTTTTTTGTGGTTGGATGTGATGTTTGTGAAAGAAAAAGTTAAATGATTATGGGGTTTGATGTGATATTTTGTTTGGATTTGTTTTTTTTTTTTTTTTTTTTAATACTTTTAGTTTTTTAAAACATTTTTCTTGTAATAAAAAAAAAAAAAAAAAAAAATTCCAAAACCAAGTTCCCAAACACCGCCTTAGTTTCCAACTTTTGTGGAAATATTTTTACAAGGTTCATGGCTCAAAAGTCTTTTGAGAAGCAACAATTATATATACATATTTTGATAAATTATAAATATATTTCTTAAAATTTATTTAAAATACGAATTGTCCTTTATAATTTAAAATACGAATTGTCCTTTGACTTGATAATTTGTTAATAAAAGGAGCTATTTATTATAAAATTTAAAACTTCAAAGGGCGAGATGTAATTTTTAGAATCACACGAGGGAATTTGTATTTGAAACAAATCTCAAGGAATGTGTTTGTAATTTACTCTTTATATATATATATATATATTTTGCATGGCTACAAAAGCCTCAAGTGTACCTAGACTACACCGAATATGAGATTAAAAATAAATAAATAGTATGTTTAGATATTTTTTGGGTTTTTATAAAAAAAAAAGAGAGACAAATTTCATTTTATCCCCTTACAATTCTGGCTTATGTGCCGATGATCTTTTTATCATTTAGAAATAACCACATAACCTCCATGTGATTTATGAATCAAAGTGCATCATTATATTTTTCATCCAAATTAACGAAATGTGAGGTGTAGTGGTTGTTTTTTGATTGCCAAATAAAAAAAGAAAAAGAGATATATTAGTATAAATCATGAGTGTGGAGTATGTGGGTGTTTGGGTAAATCGTTGTTCTAAGTTTTTGGGGCACTCAAAATGTTGTTTTTTGATTGGAAACTGTGTGAGTGATTTTCTGATCACACTGTCCGACTCAGTATTCAGCTGGAGAACACTTGGCAGAATAGATGATACCTGGCTAACCTGTAACAGAAAGGGAAGATTCCAGCGGTGGTTCGTCCACCCGGGGGCACTCCGACGATCAAGTTAGCATATCTCTTAAAGATAATCAATGGTGTTCAACTCACTAGACAGAATATAAATTACGTACCTTAGACCTACGGGGGTGCCTCTCTTTTATAGTTACCTCAATCCTAATCTCAATAGAAACCTGACTTCTATGGATTCCTGTTCAGTACTTACTTTGGACTCCTTTAGAGATAAAGATAAACTCCCTAAGAGCTTTATCCTTATCTTGGCTAAGTCTCCTCTTTATTCTAGGACTCTTGTCCCTTATCTACTTTTCTCGGACTCCGATATCTTCGGAGATAACCCCGGCTTAACCGAGATCACCTCGGCGTCATGACCCTGACACATGGCACCTCGGCTGACACGTCGGCGTCACCTTGCCACGTGTCGGTACTCAAAAATATATCCCCACAACTGCCCCCTAGGTTCTATTATCTCTCGGCATCCTGAGGTGATGGAACCTATATCATTCCTTCCTTCCAGTATGTCGGTTTACAGTATCTCAGCCGAGATCATTATGTTGGCCGACATGTCTTCGTTAAAGAACAAGAATTCCAAATGAGCGCCTTCATGCGTATGAGCTGTCACACATCACTTTTCAACCGTTTCATTCACGCGTTTCATTCTTATTGGATCGTGCTTATGACGCGCCAGAAAACCGTCTTGTCTGCGTGCGCCGTTTGACGCACTCGTTGCTCCAGGTGCATTTAATTTCCTTTTACCGCCGTTTCAATTTTTTTTTGACAAAAACTTGTTTTCCCTTTTTCATCTTTTTCACTTTTACATCAATTCCTTTGCTCTTTTCTCTCTCTAGCCTTCGAATACGCCATTGTTCCAGACCTCAAGTCTCTGCAACTGCCTTCATTCTTCCTTCTGGTGAAGCTTTCTGCCGTTCTGCTACTTTTGTAACCATTGACTGACTTCGGCGATTCTTACACCGGCCTCTTTTCTTCGGTGAGTTTATTGTTCCTTTCGTTTTCAATTTCTTGATGTTTTCCATTACTTGCCACCACTACTGCATTTGTTTAGACTTTTTAATTTGTGAATCATACACCTAAATGTGTTTTTCCCACGATTTTGCCCTTGCCCATATCTTGAACATACGCATTGTTTCACCACTTCCCTGTATTGTTGCTACTGTTCTTGGCCTTATACTTCTTGTATTCTTTATGCTCTTGATAGATCATCTCTGTTCTTGATTCTGAAACTCGTTCTTGTTTCTGTTTTTTGTGTCTTTTCCAGATTCGTATCTTCAACTTTGTTTCCATAGTCTTAGGTTTGGGATTTGTCTGTAGAACCCACAATTTAGGGCAAAACTGAAACATCCCTTACAAATTTCTGCACCAGCTTAAACCTAGGTTTTTGCCAAGGTCCCAATAATCTTTTTGGAAAACATCTTCCTTCTGAAATCCAATACCTTTAGTTATCCCGATATTATGAGTATGTGGAAACATCGGGTAGACACCCCATCTAAGCTAGACTTTTTTAGGCAAGAGTTTAAAATCCCAGCCGATGTCAATCTGAGGTTGGCTGGGGATGATGACTCCATCATGCCTATTGATCACTCCATGCCCTTCCCTGTAGTTGCCTTTATTGAGTGTGGACTTCGGTTTTCACTTGACCTTTTTTTCCGTCAAACCATTCACTTCTATAAGTTGAACCCAATGCAACTCGCCATCAATTCTTACCGAGTTATTACTGGTACCATAGCCTTTGTCAAACAAGAGAATGCCAGGATTACGCTTGCCGATTTCCAGTACTGTTATACCATGTGTCGCCTTAGAAAAGACACGGACTATGTCTATTACCTTAAGCCGAGATCCACCGAATATAAAATTGTAGCCGACCTCCTAGACTCCAACAAGGGAGCTGGAGACGATTACTTCATTGTCTCGGGCAATTGGGAGTTTCAGCCAAACGACGACCTCCATCTTTATCCCTTAAGCCGAACTGTTTTGAGGAAAGGAGCAGGTAAAGGCCACCCTTCATAAGTTTTCTTATCTTCTTGCATAAAGTTTTTCAATATTCTGTTCTAATGTTTGTGCTGTTTTTATCCTTGCAGTTCTTCCTCAGTCTCCAAAGAACTTTCGTCAATCCTTTCTCCCCAGCAAGGATTTGAAGAGGCTACAGAACCTGCCAGTCCATAAACGGAAGGCGCCTTTGCTTCTCAACTTTATCCTAACCTATAAGTCAGCTCTGCCTGACGTTCCTAAGAGGAAGAAGAAAAGCCTCTCTCAACCTTCTGCTACAACTCCACAGACTGCGTCCACATCTCGGACAGATCAAGGGTCAACTTCCGACCCAACTGATCAGCCATCAACCTCGGCTCCATACTTGATTCCAATATCACAACGCCGCCGCCGACGCCGAACAGTTTCTACTGCCGAGATGGGTCGCCCAAAACCGGTTGCAAAAGATGTTCTGGCCAGTATTCCATCATTCGTTGATGATCAACCAGCACAAACTCAACCTCCACCGAAGCCGAAAAGAATAAAGAAGGCTCAACCAAAGGCTAAGGTAACTCAGGTTGAGTCTGAAGATACCTTGCCTATCTCAAAGTTGGCTGAGAGTGACAAACTTCAACCCTCTGCTGGGAAGAGGTGCTCTGAAGCCCAACCATCAGAATCCCCAAAATCCAAAAAGTCGAGGTCATCTTCTGTGACCACCTCGGGGTCTAAAAAGAATGATGCCCCCTGGGCTCCAAAAATTACTCTGGAAGATAAGCCAGTCATGGCTAACGACAGTGCTGATGACATCAACATCGGCGTAGCCCTTAGTACTGCTCTACTCC